ACAACTCCATACAATTTTGCACCTTTTTTTTTTTCTTGGTCGGTCATAATGAAGCATCCGCTAGGGTTACGAATCCCCTTTGTCCTCTTCATCGGCCCTTACCCAGCCTGTGTCAATCGACGTCGCCTTCCAGCTTTGCGGCCCTTTGGGGTTCCTTACGACCACTGACGGAGGTGAGAAAGGACTGGTGAAGAGGACTATGAAGAGTCTAGGCCATGAAAACGATACAAAACTCCGAAGCTCCAGGCAAAACTCAGACCAGGACCTGCAAGTTTTTCAGGTCTCAATAATAACAGTGTAAGAAATACCAAAAAAAAAAAAGAAGAAAAAAGTCGAGAAAGGGAAGCACTCGCTGGCGCGCCCAACAGGTATCGTAGCGAACCGACAAAGGAGGACGGACTATGCTACTACGAGGGTAGATGACCCAACATGTGACGTAATGGTATTTTTCGTGAATAAAAAAAGGGGGGGTATTGGACCTTAGCAAAAAACAAACCAAGAGAAGACCAAAAAAAAAAAAAAAAAATTCGTAAACATCAAGACTGTTCATCAAACGTGAGATGCCTCCGTGAAACGCTGAGCGGCGTCTTCCAAGGCTTCTGCGCCGGACTAGGCGTCATGTGAACGAAATCAGAAAAGTCGAAGCCAAGGCCAGGAGTATTGGGGAACGGATTTCCGCCCCCAGGTGTGGTCATCATGGACGAGGGCAACGCCAACCTGTTGCTGCTCAGAAGGCCCAAGTGCTTGGGTGGTGGGGTCGATGGCGGCTCCATCAGGAAGTGGTGGTTGTGGGTAACATGATTGTTACTGTCGAATCGTCTCTTGGTCGGACGGGCAGGAGATGGCGAGGCTGCCAGATATAGAAGCAAATCCGCACCCTCCTCGTTTGTCTTTTCTCGGGTTTGCTGGCCTCCCATCGACATATTGGTCCCCAGAGGCCTTCGAATGGTGGGCAAGGGTGGTTTGTTTTCCTTCTTTCTTCCGCCGAGAACATTGCGAGTGCGCATCGGCGGCGTCCTTGGCGGCGATACCCGCACGTGAGAGCGTGCAAACGAGTGTACGGGGGGATCGTCTTCATCGTCCGAGGGATTGGCACCGTAGCCAGGCGAGGCCAGAACATTGGTCATTTGTCTCGAGGTATCAAACAAGGCCACGTTGGGGCCCGTTGAGGTAGTAAAATGCCGTTGTCGCTGGGGTTTCATGGGCGATGACTGAGTCAAGTCGTGGTGGTCTTTCCACGATGAGTGGCTGCCATACGTGAAAGAACGGTGAGCGGTGGGTGACTGGCGGAACCTCTTGCTCGGACTCGACATGTTTGGGTCGTACTCGAAGGATGCCAGATACGAGCGCTTGCGATGACCCGAGCTGCCGTTGCTGGATCCGATGGCATCAGAGAAGACGGGAGCCTTAAGTGGTGAGCTCATCAGGGCTCGCGTAGGATATGGAAGATCGGAAGCGCTGGAGGAGGAGTCGGACAAGATATCACCATCGAGGAGCCTGCTTCGACGCAGCTCCTTTTCGAATCTGGGCTCGATACTGTCGAGGGTAAGGTCTTCGAGGCCATGTTTTGTCTTGAACTGAGCTAGGGCAAGGCGGTTCTGAAGTCTTCTGACCATCTGACGGGAAAGAACGGTTACCAACTAGCCTGCTTGGAGCTTGTCATGCGGTGGAAAGCAAGGATGGAAGAGCGGAAGAAGTTGGACGACGACATACCCTACTGATTTCAACCCTCTTGAGCACCCTATCGGCCACGACCTCTATCTCATGCTGTTTCTTCGACGGCGACGACATGGTCCTCGAATCGGAAATGGCCATGCACGATGCGGAGTGCCGTCTCTCGCGGAGAAGTGACGCTGCAGTGTTTGTTTGGCGAGCAATTGCAGGTGGGACTTTACAAAGAGATTGCAGGTCTGGGGATGATGGTCAGTGGTCCCTGGTGAGGGAGGACTGACTGGCGCCTAGCTCAACGCAATGGCAGGGCAGCTTAACACGGACACATGGAAGATGCAGGCAGGAGCTGTGCAACGCAACCGCACCAATCGGGCTGCCAGTGGTCTTAGTAAACGGCCTCAGTGGAGGATCCGGCGGGAGCTTGGTAAGGGAGTGCCTGGCGGACGTCGAAGGGTCGAGCGCGAGGTGCGAGATGATCGGTGGTGCCCTCTCGTGGCTGCCGCGAAGCTATGTCGTTTGCAATGGATAGATCGGAGAGCTGATGTCAAACTGATAGACTTGGGCCTTTACTTTCCCCCCAAAAGTGAAAGGTCTTGCATCAGTCTATCAGGGAGGCTGCGCCGAAAGAAGCGGGAAGTGAGGAATTTGGTTGTTGGTAGGCAAGGGATCAGTTCGATCCAATGTCCAGGCCAACAGCGTGATGGAAGGGAAGAGAACGAGACGGGACGGAGTTGTTTACCATCCATGTCAAGTTCAAGATTCGATACTCAGCTTGCTTAATTGGTGCCCTGTGTCCGCCACCCCCATTGCCCAGTGGCCAGTGCGCTGGGCCATGACCAATAGAGACTACCACTATATCTTTAAAAGCCGTACAAACAGATACAGAAAAGTGTAAAATGTTTCTACAGTACTTTCTACCTTTGCTATTCTGATCATAGTTACAGATGAAGGCTACTTTCTTATGTTAGAGGTTCAAAGAGGTTTCAAGCTATGGCTGAAAAATCAAACTAACAGACTACCTAGTATTACATTGCATAGGGCTATCAACGGTGGATTAAGAAGTTAGGTGACCGAGCACCAACCTAAGACTTACGTGTATAAACTATGTGTCTTGGTAGATATCTCAGTCAGTGACATGACAGCCGAATGCTGTCTTGCTCTACCCCGGCTGCTTGAGAATTGTAAATTCTATGACGTACAGATTCAGGCCAGGACAATCGCCCCTGTAGTCTGAAGATAAATATTCGAGTCATCTTTATCCGTGACAGGTTACATTTCTCTTCATCATCATCGGACTGCCGCAACAACGTGGAAGACCCGACCTGACACTCTCGGGTTGCACAATAAATGACTTGTGAAAGAGAGCTTAGGATAGGAATCGGGAAGGAGTATCCTTGAAGCAAAAAAGAAAAAGATAAAAAGAACACCAGGGCCAAGACAAGGTAGCGGGTGAACAATAGAAATAGGAGTCGCGGATATGGCCAGTTATAAGAATCTGGAGGGCGCGGAGGCTGACGAAATGCTCCGGATCCCAGTATCAATTCTGGATGCGGACTGTCTGTGCTCGGCAGCCAGCTGGCCCTAGCTACACCTGCATTCCGTGCCCAATTTCCGGTCCGCAGTTGGCGCCCGAGCTGTTGCCGATCGGCCAGGCCTCAGCGTGAAACGGAACCGCAACGGCGGAATTACGAGTCTCTTTGATGACCTGGATCAGATAGACTGGGGTTTGTTGAGGGACGGGCAAAGGTAGATTCCATGGCAAGATATGATTGTTCTCTTTTCTCGGTTGTACGGATATGGAGTACAATATCTCGAGCCAAACTATCGTCAGTATTTACGCCCTTTGAGGACCAAGACCAACACTGTCATGCCCAACCATACACATATATACTTGGGTGGGCGCGGCACAGGAACTCCTGATGCTTTGCAGTATACCCGGAGGTAGAGGTTTTCACGGTAGCCCGGATCCGTTTTCCTGAATGCTGCCTCTTGACCTTACGTACATAAAACGACTGGGTAGTGTACTACTCCAAAAACGGCCTGTGAGCCATGTATGTACACTACAGTCACTGGCTCTGATAGCCAAGACCCTAAAGCTTGGCACCTTTCTCGCGCGCGTACTGTCGGTGTCGAGTTTGCTAAATACCATCACCCAACTACATTCCCGAGACGTCTTGATAGATATACTTTCGAACGCAAGAGGATGTATCATCACGCGGGAGCCTCCTGCCAGCCCCCTACAATCTCTAGAACTGACCTTGTTTTTTTACCTACCTCTACCTTATATACTAACGCCTAACCCTAAATCCTTCAGGCGGCCCAATAACTCTGCTATTGGTCAGACGGGTTCCACACAGGCCGCTTAGGATTGCGCACAGTCGCTTGAGCCAAGTTGCCCTATCCAAGTGAATGTTGCACTGGATGTTGATCGATACCAAACAGGTCGTAGCTTGCGCACCAAATCACAAGTGGATTGAGATACAGCTCGAGAGCGTGGGAATAACTACAGCTGTACGTGGATTGCTTCACTGCTGGCCTACTGTATATACACTACTGCGTAGCCGACGTCCAGCTTCATACTTCTGATTTCGTCTCTCTCTCTTCCCCCCCCCCCCCCCCCAGCTATGTACACAGTATGCTCGCCTTATAAAGAACCTGAAGGCAAAGTTGGGACCGAGTTCAAAAACTGTCAAGACTTGATACTGTGCATGACGGTGCACGTGGCGCCGTTTCACGATGGAGCTACTTGCATAAATACTTACTGCGCCTTGCTCACAGGGTGCATTGCAATGTTGGGACACTATTAGGAAACTCAACCAAGTTGGGACTTTTTTCTCTTTTTTTTACGTCTTGCTCCGGGGCCATTTCGCCAGCAGACGTCGGGTCTCATGTTCACGGACCTTCCAAGATCAACGGGCCGAACCCCGCTCACACCTCTCCTGCGCCTAATGGAGCCTCCTCTGCTGTAACAGTACTGAAGACTTTACAGCCAGTTTTACCATTTGAAATTCGAAATATTACCATTTTATGAAGGACGGTGAGGGAGCTGTCCCTGATCTTCAGCCCAGCATCTTGCGGGTCACCCAAGCTCAGTCATGGTTGGCTATGTGTACTGATGAGCGGACGATAGCTGGTTGGACTTCTGTTGAAAGACTTCCCTCCTCAATCGTCGCGCCACCAGGTTGTGGGATCGACGTCGGTAAGGGTCGGTTTCGCAGTTGGTGTTCTGGCATGTCTGGCCTCGCTGGCTCGCCTTGCTTGCCGGCTTGCCTGCATGTATCTTGTCGGACCCGTGAACCAAGGAAGCAAATAGGACTATTATCGCCAAAAGCACCATTTGATCTCAAAACGAGATCAACAGCATGTGTTCGAAGCAAATTGCCCATCTTCCAAGGGTGCAGCCCGATATACAGGTCCAATGGCATTCTGTTCCGCAGGTTACTGGAGTGCAAGTGGCTTTTTCCATATGTACAAGTCGGAGAGATGGTAAAGCGGTCATGAAGGCCCCCCAAGCTTATACCAGCGTGGTCAAGCCAAGCCTTACACAACCGCACATGACTGTACGTAAGTAACCTAAATACGTACACTACATGACTTACTCCTGTTCTGGCTTCTCACATGCCACCGATGTCATGTAATGTGTTGTATTTATAGGTAGATGTATCTTTGGCGTTGTCCAATGTATTGACGCTTGCGGTTGGTATAGTAAGGGACGTAACCTAAGGTACCAGACAGACAAAACGGTAAGGATTGGAGTATGGATGACGTCCCAGCCGATCGTCTGATTCGTCTGATTCGTCAAGATAGCTCCGTTTTGGCACGGGACTTTCTCCGCAGCGCGTACAACTTGAAATAGATACTATAGTACTTGCCCGACATGGAAGACAAGATGTCCTCCTCGCCTGGGAGGTTTCAAACTTTGCGTCCACTTCAGCACTAGCAAAAGGTAGGGGTCTGAACTTTATGTCCACCGGCGCCGCATCGAGGTTCCATTCTTACCTCAACCCAGCCCCGGTTCTTCCACCTCGCGAGTCTCAAGTTTCCACGGCAGCGATCCTACCGTCTCTGGCGTACTGTCGAGACTGTGTACTGGCGTACCTCTACCAAGCGAACAAGGTTTGCTAGGCTCACCAAGGCAATTGATGTTGCCGCTCTCGCTGGCTACTGCAAGTTTTTCGCCTGCTTTCCGGAACTTGATCAATCATACCGTAGCTTGCCAGTCCTGACAGTCATATGTACTCCCCAGTCCCGTCCGCGCCAGCTTCTGTCACCTCCAATCCACCGAGGGGGCACGCAACTCGCAAAACTAGGTACATACCAGACAACACAGGTCCAAGGCGCCAAAAAGCACTCGCCCCTAACAATTGTCCCTCAATTCCCAAACATCGACTGGGTCCACGGAAGAACGCACCTCCATCATTTTATTTTTTATTTTTTCCCACCAGCACCGTGTCCATCCGCCGGTCAAGGTCCCTTGTCCCTGATCCTCTGCCTTAAGACGGTACCCTGAACTCGACCACAGTCTCGACCTTTTTCGACTCGTTCAACCCTCTGGACCTTCTCTGAGACGTCAAGCCCCGAATCCTCCAGCGACACCGGACACAGCCTGAGATGGACCGTACGCCCATCGCCTGTCTGGTCATTATCTCGCGCTGAGCTTAAACAACCCTCCCCCATATCGCATCTCCAGCACGCCTGGCTTGGCCGTCTGCCATAGCTCTTTCGACTACTGTACCGCCTTCTGTTTCATCCGCTGCGTGAACCGTTTGAGTCCCCCGCCGCCTGGGTACATTACGTCGCGAAGCAGCCGCGGTTCGACCACCTGAACGCTCGACCCAGAGCATGCTACGTGACCTTGGGAAAAGTGGAAACAACTGTCGGCTCGGACCAGGAGACCGCATCACGTCGTGTGGAGATGAGAAGAGGAGCAGAGCGTGACCAGTCCATCAAACTGTGCTCTTGCTTGGGAGAAACTCGTGCCTACTAAATTGGACTGTTCTTGATTCTCGGTCGCAGTCCTTATCGGCCGCTGTTATCGGCTCGGACTGCTTGGGCATTCGCTTGTCTAGACCTCGTGTCCCGACCCACGCTGAACCACCACAATCATGCCGCCTCCCGAGGGTGACTCGGCCTCTGTGCAGGCTGGTAACAACTCCAGCGACTTTGTGAGCTCCTCTTCCAAAGCTTCCCCTTTCCACTCTCCTCTCTCTTTGTCTGCCAGCGACCGCTAGTTTTAAGATGGGTGCTAACCCGTAATTTGTCTCACCTAGGTGCGCAAGCTATATAAGTACGAAGCCTAAACCCCTGAAGCCATCCTGAGGCGCCAAGTCCATGCCTGTAAATTGCGAAAAGTGCGTTCTGACCAGCTTGTAGGATGCTCGAAGACCCCACGTACAATTCCGTAGTACGATGGAGCGCCGATGGTGACAGTTTCGTTGTTCTAGAGGTATGCGCTGAACGGCATTTCATTTGGGGAAGACGCTCCCCCCTGCTCTTGCTGACATGCTCATCAACAGAATGAAAAATTCACCAAAACCATCTTACCCAAACACTTCAAGCACAGCAATTTCGCAAGCTTCGTACGGCAGTTGAACAAATACGATTTTCACAAAGTGAGGCACAATGAAGAAAGTGGCGAAGCGCCATACGGAAGAGATGTGGGTGGTCCAAGTCATCGGTCCTGCAAAGGGGATTCCTTCAGCTGACCGTATCCAGGCATGGGAATTTCGACATCCCGAGTTTCGTGCAGATAGGAAAGATAACCTAGATAATATCCGCAGAAAAGCGCCCGCCCCGCGTAAGCCAGCGCAAGCTGAGGATACCTTTGGCGCGTCGCAGCAGATTGTCGTCCTAAGCGAATCGCTTACTGCGACCCAACACCAGATCCAGGCGTTGCAAGAACAGTATTTCGAGCTGGCGCAGACGAACAAAGTGCTCGTCAACGAGGTCATCAGCTTGCAGAAGATGGTCAGGGCTCAGAGTCAAGTCTCCAACGAGTTGATCACCCACCTCAGCAACATCGAGGACCGTCGACGGAATAGCAGACACTCGGCGCATTCTAGCCACTCAAGTCATTCAGGTCCGACCTTCCACGCAGGATCCCTTGGGCTACTACCAGACGGTGCTGATGAGCCGGCAGCCGAACTTAGACGAGCGCGCGAGATACTCAATGGCGTTTCCCCCGACTCCCAGGCCGACCGGGAACTCGAACGGTTATCGGTCGCCTATCATCAAAATGGGTCTCCATCGGAATCGGCGGCCTCGTCAGTCATGTTCACCCAGAGCGGCCCTGGCCCCATGCACATGTTGCATGACCCCCTCAACGACCCAAGACACATGGTCTATCCGGTAGGGCAGACAACAGGCATCGATCCATTCCATTCCGACCACATCAACAACATCCCTTATACTCGTCCCTTGAGTAATCCGAATGCGATGGCAGACTCTGCCCAGATCACGCCTCCCCCAAAAGATCAAGGCACCTCCATGTGGAGCCACAAGCGGCCACGTATCCTACTCGTCGAGGATGACAAGACATGCGCAAGGATCGGTGCCAAATTCCTACATGTACTCGAATGCTCGGTAGATATTGCTGTAAGTTCTAGGTGTCTCGCCTTGGGAATTCGAATTACCCGAAGGCAGCCGTCGCTAACACTGTAGCAGAAGGACGGGCTGGAAGCTGTCGAAAAGATCAACAATCCGGAGAATAACGAGGGTTTCGACCTCATTTTCATGGACATTATTATGCCCAACCTGGATGGCGTATCGGCGACGGCGATGATCAGGATGGTGACGGCAAGAGTACCCATCATTGCCATGACGTCGAATATTCGACAAGAAGATATCCAGACCTACTTTCAGTATGGTAAGTTGAGCCCATCCCAGTTCACCCCACCTGCTTCTTTCGGATGTTCTAACGTTCCTTCCTCCAAGGTATGAATGATGTGTTAGCAAAACCCTTTACGAAAGACAGCATGATCCGCGTTTTGAGGAAGCATCTGGCGTATATGCTCAAAGACCCGCTCCAAGGCGGCCTTAACGCGGATGATACAGGACAGACTGTCGGTGCCCCAGGACCGCCGGGCCAGAACCAACAAGCTTACAGCAACAACCAACAAGCGCAGGCCAACATGATGGCGGCGGCAGCGGCGATGGCAAACTCTTCGATGGGCAGCAGCGCACAGGTCAAATTTGAACAGACGCCGATACCTTCGCCTGCCACCACGTCTTCATGGCATTCCCCAGGGCAGATGAACCAGACGTCCCCCAACATGGACGGTGGGGGATACATGAATGCCGGAGGGAACGGGCCGGGAGGGATGGTTCTGACGCCGGGGGGCACACAAAGACCGCCGCCGCCACCCTATCAAATGATGAATAACCAGGTGAACAACCAACTAGCAGGCGGATCGGCGGGTTTCCAAGGCGGCGGCCATATACAGGCCTCCGAGGGCATGGGAATGGGTGGATCAGAAGAGAATCGGCCAGAAAAGCGCCAACGGTTATACGGGCCTGGCGCGAACCACCAGAGGCCGTTTGTGCAATAGAGAGTAACCGTCGACGGAGTGACGATTCTAATTGTAGATCGAAGAGGGGATAGCGAGCGACGAGATCGGTAAAAGCACGGAATGGAAGGAATTACGCATTCGGGGCGGCAGGGTCGGCTGGCGTCGATTTTTTTTTCTTTTCGTGGCTGATTGTTTCGATGTCGATCTCGTGCCGTTGCATGCTCGTCGACGAAGGCAAAGAGCTGCTCAATTCCCGAGTAGGTGTTGCCGCAGAGTTGGCTAACCTCTACTGCAATTCGAAGCTTTAGAAACTCGTACCAAAGCCTGATTCGTGTGTGCCGGCTGATGTCAACTTTGTTCCTTTTTTTTTCTCTCTTCTGTGGGGGGGGATGGATATTTGGCGGTGTGTAGCGTGATTGGTTAAGTAGAGAGGTAGCGTGGTTGGCTCCTCATTTCGCGCATGTAGTTTAAGTCTGAAGTAGATGTCGTTGCATCCGGTCTGCAGTCCTTTCCACCTACTAGACTTGAGCATTAACGGTGGGCAAGTGCTCTGTTCGAATTGTTGCTGTCGAACTAGCAGTTGGTCGTCAAGTGAGCATATGTGGTAGTGACGCTTTCCAGGGTGAGCCAAGATTGTTGGCACAATGTTGATGAGAAAATGGCTGTAGGGGGTCGGTCGTAGAAGCAACAAGCAGGTGGGAAAAGTTTAGGAAGATGGAAAGAAAATAAAAGGACGGAATCTCGTGTTGGTTACGTGAGCTCGGGAGCAGATTGAACTAAGTACAGTAGATAAACTGTCAGCTGTAAGTGAATGAGGATAACGGAGAGGGAAGGGGGGGTGAAAGGTTCATAGGTCGAGGTAAGAAGGTGAGTATCGCGAGCCTGGGGTTTCGTATAAGATGTATCTGAAGGGAAAAGGAAAGAGGGAGGAGGCGGGTGAGAGGAGCACAGCTACCATTCGGTACAACCGCTCGTACTACAGCCCAGAATGGTTTGGTGGGTTCCAGACGAGCCTAGACCTGGCTAGGCGCCAGGATCGTCGGGTACTTGCTACATATTCACGCACCAACTGTGGTGCAGACAGGAGTAAGTATTGAAAGGGCCTGGTTCGAGAACATTTGGGGAAAGAATATCCCTTATAGCGAGGCACGGGTAGTGTATATGCATCTCGGTCGGTCCAGGAGACGGCTGGGATGAGTCAATGCTGCTGTTGCTCAGCCGGCTCCTGACCAACCGCGGGACCGAAGAGGACTTGGATGTTTGTAAAAACTAAGTTCACGAAAGCGCGAAGGCCCGCTGGTTTCCCTGTCAGTATGCGAGGTAAGAGTCGGTATTAGGCTCGGTACTAGTGGAGGGCAATTGTAATCCTGGAACTTGCAGGATGGGGGAGTGGACCGAGGTTGATACCTCCAATTGTAAATACCTCTTGGAGATAAGAATCTGGTGCCGGAGCGAATGAGCCCTGTTGAGTCCGTTACGAGGTCCGTTTGAAGGTAGAGAGAATTGTTTTGGCTGTTTGCCTGCTTGTAAGTCGTGACCCAAAGGATGATATTGGATATGTAGTCTTGGACACGGGTATGCAGGATGAAGAGTGGTGTTGTTTGCTCGTCTCCATGGCAAATTGTAGTGTAGCCTGATCCTTCTTTCCCATTCGGGGTTCTTGACGGAGCATGAAAATTCATAGCCGCGGGAGGTAAGACAAGAAACAGATGAGGAGACTGGGACGCCAATATAAAGTGAAGGCTAATCGGAGATACGGCGTGGCGGGGGATTTCCGGGCTGGTTCCAGTTGATAACACCGCGGACCAATATAATACATAAAGGAAACGAGGTGGAGGAGAAAGAAATAGCAATTTGGGGGTCGGGAAAGGGGCGTTAAACCGGGCCGGAGCCGCCTTCTATGACGGCCTTGGGTGCCAGACTGTCGCGGAGGGCGGGACCAAGCTAGCCAAGGACACTTCCCGGCAATTTGAAGCAGAGTGGCCTGGTGTTGGAGAACATTAAAAGTACCTTCGTTGTTACGCATGGCGTCGTGCTTGACTGGCAAGACGGGCTCCTGGAACCGGGTCCGCCTGAGCCGCTTACTAGGATCCACCAAGAAACCTCAGATGCGGTATGCTGCATGTTCGATGGTGGTCTAGAACTCTTTAGTCCCATATAGTGCGGTCCGCCGTTATATGTAGTGTAGTGTAGTTATGTACACACCTGGCGCCGTGACGCTCGCTTTATGTATGAATGGGACGAGACGGTGTTGGATTCGATGTAAGGATCTGCAGATCGGACGAGATTCATTCCATTATCGTTCCGACCCTCGTTAGAACGCGAACTAGCACGTGGCGAGGCTGGTGAACTACCAACGGCCAGGTGTTTTCCCCATGCAGTGATCCTCCCGAGGCGCGGTCCTGCGAAGCTTTGTCGGCACAACATAGGTGCAAGAATGTAATAGGTAGGCTGATAGTTACATATGTAACCGAACGGCGAGTCGGCACTTTGGGAGATGGGTTTGGCGTGCCGCGGTTGGGTTTCGTCAAGTCGAAATCGGCTAGCATCCGACAGGCCATCCCGGAGTTATCTAGTGTAGTGTCATGTAGTGCTGTGTACACTACACTACGTATATATACCGGCTCCTGGCGCAAATCAACATTTGGCTCCACCGGGAGGGTGGGATCGCCGGTCATCTCTCGGCACTCAGCTGAAATTGGAATCCGGATCATGGTTCGTCTGGACTAAGTTCATGTCCCAACTTCAGTCGCCATGATCTTGATAGCTAAGATGGGCGAGGTGCGAGGGGGGCTTGCTATCGCAACGTCTAGGTGAGCTGGATGTTTCAGTTCTTGCCCACGGAATCAGTTACGTCTGCTAGAATTCGCCCTGGAGCCAGGAAAACTGCCAGACTGCGTGCACAGCAAAAGCTCGGATCTTGAGTTCTACTATTTACACTACCTAGTACCTTCCCTTTCATACATGTTGCCGTTGTTGTGTAGCCAAGGGAGATGCTAAGCACTATTGTGTTGTAGTGTACACTACTACTTAGTACACTAAGTACACCCACACTGTTCAGTGCCGGTGCTATGATGTGCTTGATGCGGCTACTTCAGTTGTGATCGATGGGAGCCCAAATGCGGCTAGTGATTTCCAACGCCACGATTTTCCACTGATGAAAGTTACCGCCTGTAAGGCTCAGTGCAGTTGGTACGCGGTACGGTAAACTAAGGTACCGATGGTACGTACAAGCCACAGGTGATAGCCCCGCGCCCCACCTCCAAGCATGCAGTATGGAAGTTTGGACAGATCGGGGCCACTGCGTTGACTCATCATTGCAAGGTTTTTGGTACCACACAGCGGCCGAGGCAGGCAGGCGCATTATCAACCCCAGCTTTGAAGTTCAAACGCGCCGTTCTTGACATTGTGCAGCCCCACCTTTTTCCTTCTACCACAGTCTTCCCCGCGCTTTCCGATCCGCGGCCACTTACTCAACCAGGCCCTCGTCGACCCATTCCTGTAGAGTTCGAGCTGATAAATAGACTTCAGTTGGCAATGTCGGGCAAGCAGGTCAGCAAGGGCGGAGCTGCCAATAAGTCCAAAAAGCCCGCCAAGGGCGGCGCCGAGGAGAAGAGAGAAGATGCTCTCCAGGCCGTCATCCTCGCCGATTCTTTCCAAGACCGCTTTCAGCCTTTCGCGCTTGAAAAGCCCAGGGTAAATGCCTTCATGCTTCATGCTCAATGCTTCATGTCCCTTGTCCCTGGTGACCTCTGAGTACTGACGGCCTTCTCCTGACAGTGTCTCCTTCCTTTGGTCAACGTGCCCGTTATCGAATACACGCTCGAGTATCTAGCCTCCAACGGCGTCCAGGAGGTCTTCATCTACTGCGGCGCCCACTCCGAAGACGTCGAAACCTACATCCACGACTCCGACCGATGGAGCCCGGAAAGCAATCTCTGCCCCTTCTCTTCTGTCGACTTCATCCGCGTGTCCGACGCAAGCTCCATCGGTGACTGTTTGCGAGATCTTGACAAGCGCAGTCTTATCTCGGGTGACTTCATTCTGATTCATGGCGATGTTGTCGCAAACATCCCCCTCGATGGTATTCTGGCCAGGCACCGCGCAAGGAGAGAGGCCAACAGAGACGCCTGCATGACCATCGTCTTGCGCTCAACAGGAGACAGCCCTCACCGGACTGCAAAGGCCCGGGGCATTACTCCTGTCTTTGTTGTCGACCCCACCAACGGCCGTTGTCTGCAATATGAAGAGATGCACCCACTTCAGAAGGACAAGTATGTCAAGTTGGACGAGTCGGTATTCGAGTATGCTGAGTTCGAGTTACGCACCGATCTGATCGATTGTGGCATCGATATTTGCACACCGGATGTTTTGGCCTTGTGGTCCGAGAGCTTCGACTACGAGCTTCCCCGCAAGAACTTCCTTCACGGCGTACTGAAAGACTGGGAGCTCAACGGCAAGATCATCAGCGCCGAGATTCTTGAGGAAGGCTACGGGGCTCGCGCCAGCAACCTTCAGATGTATGATTGCATCAGCAAGGATATCCTCCACCGCTGGGCGCTACCGTATGTCCCCGATAGCAACCTTCTTCACGGACAAACTTACAAGTACAAACAGGGTCTGTGGTTAGAGGATGGCGCACACATCGCAAAAAACAGCACAGTAACCAAATCAGTACTAGGGAAGACCGCCTATGTCGACACTGGTAGCACAATCTCGAGCAGTATCATCGGAAGGAGGTGCCAGATCGGAAAGAACGTGAGGATAGAGAACAGCTATATTTGGGATGACGCGGTGATCGAAGACGGTGCTACTGTTCTGCATTCCATTGTAGCCAACGATGCAGTCATTGGTAAGCACAGCTACATTCCTCAAGGCTCTCTCATCTCCTACGGTGTGCGGATCAGCGCCGGAACACAACTCTCATCCAAACCCCTACCGAGAATATCCCTCTTCACCAGTGAAAGAGAGCCGGTCAAGACCGACATTAAACTGGTCGGAAACGATGGCAAGGGAGCCCAATATAAAGAACCACAAGACGACGAGGACAGTGACTCCGAGGAGGAAGGCGATGCGGACCCCGCAGTTCTCCAAAGCTCTCTCGTTTACTCTTTGGCTGGCCTCAACATTTCAAGCGAGTCCATCTCCACATTAGCGACCCATGACTCCGATGATGACCTCTCGGATGACGAATACGAGCAAGGCTTCCAAGCCAAGGCCAACCGCGAGCGCCTATCCTCCTTCGCGTCTGACGATTCCGCTGCCGCCGTCATGAAGCTCGACCAGTTCCATGGTGACGCTGTTCACGGACTTGTAGATGCCCTCCGTGCTGACGACAACGAGGACTTCGACTCTGCGAAGCTGGAGTTCATGGGTTTGAGACTGGCCAATAATGCTTCGGACAGCATGATGCGCAAGGCCATTGCCGTAGCCTTTGCCACTCGCGCCGCCGAGCTCATGAGTCCCGAAAACGGCGGTCTTGAGCCTACCAAGGCCGCTGGCCGGGCTCTTACGTCCAAGAAGGGTGCCGTCAAGTTCATTACAGAGGTTGGCGTCGGCGGAAACAAGGTCGATCTCCACGCTGAGTTTGCCCTCGCGTTGCAGAAAGCTTTGGCAGCCATTAAGGGGCTTGATTCTGCGCGCGCAGGAACGCTACTTGCCGCCATGCTGCAGCAGCTTTATAACTTGGACGTTCTCGAGGAGGAGGGTATTCTCGCCTGGTGGGCGGATGCCAGGGCTGCAGAGAATGATACACTCTCCAAGATCAAGGAGAGGAGTCGTGTGCTGGTTGAATGGCTGGAGAATGCAGATGAGGAGGATAGCAACGAAGACAGTGATGAAGAGGATGAGGATAGTGACTAGATGGGTTATCAATGGAAGTGCATGCTCAAGAGGGATGGATTATTTGGAAGAAGGAAGCAAGGGTGGAAGAACGAAAAGGGGGAGGTGTAGATAAATTTATACCCGCAGCACCTGCGATCTTGAAATATTGCTTGTGTTCTCTCTTTGGGAAGGAAAGAATGGATGGACGGGAAAATGAAGGAAAATTTGACATCCGCATACTCCTCGCTCTCAACACATCTTCCTTTGTATGAGTGAGCACGAATGCATGTGATGATTTTATGAACTACACTGAGCAGCCTTACTTAAATGATGGCCTGAGTGCTCTCAGCATACAGGTTGTATAGGTGAGCGTCGTCAAGAATACTGAACCACCCATGCTCTTTGCTTTCCAACTTTGGTACTTGCTTCACACTCGACTTGCTATCTCACCATACGTACATCTTGGTCAAAACATTAACAGTTTGGTGATGATGTGTATGATTGTCTTACTGCCAAAACTCGTCACCGAAGGACATCATCCTCACCATGAAGAATGCACTTATCAATCCGAAGGGCAAGTCTAACCATAGATTCATCCAAGCTTGTTGGCGGCATGAGACTTGCTGGAAATAGAGACGTCAAAAGGCCAGGAGTCTTCATGGACAGCCGCATTGATGTTGCCCACATTGATACACCGTAGACCGTCCTCGTTTCACAGCTCAGTGGCTTAGTTCCCGTCGGATGGCTCCATCTGTCACTTGTCCTTTTAAGTGCTGAGTCATGGTCAGAGCAAAGGCGGATGGGAGGTTGGGTAAGGTGTAGTAGATTAACGGTTAGAAGATGGGTATAGTAGGTAAAGTATATATATATATATACGCTTAGGCAGGGATGTGATAAGGGATATCAAAGCGACAAAGGCAGTTTGCTGATGACAACAGAAAACCCGTCAACCCAAGCGCCGCATGACCCAGTTACCCCCACAATATTGAAACCCCTTGGGGGTATTAGTGTATGGCTGTACAGCAGCGAATTTGATTAGCATGACTTTTTCTTGTGTTTGGAGAATAGAATGAATAGGTTTGCCGGTCGCACACGACGTACCCAGAGCCACCATTTGGCTTGCCGTAGACTGGTGATTTCCTCCCCGAGCTTGTGAAAATTTGGATGCCATCGATCCAGAAGCCGGCTCTGACATAAAAACCGGTAACGTATTCGCCCCGACGGATATCTGGCATCAGTCAGTATATCAATGAACAGTGTTGGCTGACTTCAGCATCGTACTTACCCATTTCAAAAACGTCACCCCCTGCTTTCCCCCCTTTTTTCCCAAAAAGTTGCGTTGAACTATCATCATACACAAACTCCAAACCATCCAAGGCCATCCCATGGTAAACAATAATCCTCGAGAGAACTATGCCTTGTTTCACTGCACTTGTGAACACAACTTCATAGGGCTCGCTTCCTTCCAATTTGGATGCTCCCAATGTCTTACCGCGATACGCTGTCTGTGCCAAAATGGGTACTCCTGGTACCAAGCCCATGGGAAGCTTAAAGCTCGATTGCTTGGAGCACAACTGACGGAAATCTTCGATATCCAAAGAACCACCGCCATGTGATCGGACACTAACCTTCAATCTCCGCTTCCTTTTGTCCTCGGCCAGTTCCTTGCGTAGTTCCTGCTCATTGAGTGTGATCTGACGTTGGATGCCCGATCCATTACCGCTAGCGCCTTCGCCGAGATATTCGATCCATTTGTGACAAACATCGTCATCTTCTCCAAAGATCTCGACGTACATTATCCCTGAGGCGGCCGTTATCATTACTTCGCCTCCTCCCACAGGCCATGCCTGTACGCTGTCATCCGGGCTTGGAACTGAGTCGTTGGGCAATCGAAAACATGGATGGCTCCGAAACCTGAGGCAGTCCAGACGGTGCCAGGTACATTCATCTTCCTGTGATACCGGACCACCTTTGGAGCGCGTGCGTGTCGAATATGCTTCACGAACCATAAAAGTGCGATTAAGCTTCACATAGTCCCTCAACATGACGCCACTTTCGCGGTGAGGCAGGCCGAACAAATGACCTGTCTCGTGCAGATGAGCTCCAATGCCGATATTAGCTGCCTCCCACGAGCTCCCAGCCTCATTGCAATCGTTGGCAACATAATTCGTATCTGTAGGCGTACAATCACTGAATGCCGGGACCACTTCTTCGAAGCTTGTCGGGTAGCTTTGCAGGCAGTGTGACCCGAAAATGGCAAGTTGCAGATTGCCGACCCCCCCTCCGAGCGCGGCGTGCGCGGTAACGGTTTTCAGAGTCGTATCCCAGTGTGAGTCTAGCAACAAGACAGAAACGTAGAGTTTCTGTCCCGGAAGCGGCTTGAAGTGGTCTTTGACCGCATCTACAGCAATGCCAAACAGAGCATCCTTTTGGTTGGCATCTTTGTTTTGCTGCGCCTTATTCATGTCGCGGAGCTCTGCTAGGGTATGGTTCGTCCTGATAATGTGGATGCGTGCTTCAGACCGTAGTGTCCCCTGCTCTCTATCCCTCTGGTTTGCCGAGCCCGTAGTCCACTCCTCTTCGAGCCGAAACACGCGACGACCAAACTTGTTGCGCCACATCTGTTCTGCCGTAAATGCCTGCCACAGATACGCAGCCATGCGGAACTTTCGAACTGCCGTCTCCAGACCGTTTCCTTCTCGCTCGATCCTGGCTGGAACGGCATCATATGTAGCGGGAGAATCCCTGGCGAGCAAAATGGCGAGTTGGAGAGGAGGGGCGTTGGTCGCTGGAAGCATATGTATTGTTAGATAGGAGGCGTGAATGGGATTCGTTGATCCGCTGTTAGCGAGTTTCGGGCTGGCAAAATCGAAGCGTAGTCGGTTTGCGCCGGGGTTCATGTAGACTAGAGCCTTGAACTGGGAGTCGCATACGGGCCAGCTGAGAGGGGGGAAGCTGTCATCAAGTCGGCTGACAGTCACGGTCCCGTCAAGGGATTGCTGAGAAGGCTCCCCAACGGTACCGTAAACAAGTAGGACCTTTTGGTAGACCTGTGATGGTTTGGTTAATCAAGGCAAGCGGTGAGGAAGTGGCCAGGCACAATCAACTCCAACTCACCCATGAGTTGTCTTGAATACTGGTGATGCGTGGAGAGTATTGCGAGACGGGCAAATTGGGGCCCCTGCCGTTTGGCGTTGGCGATCCTAGACCTGTCATACCCGAAACACTATGTCTGTTTGGGTTTCCCGTGTACGGATGTGGCGCCGGGCGCGAAGGGGCAGTAGCAGGAGGAATTGGAGATGTTGACTGGTGGTTGTTAACGTGGATATTGAGAGCCGGGTCCGACTGGTGGGAGGAGAAGGACGGAGGAGTCAAGGAGCCGGTGGTGTGCGCAGTGCCATTGCTTGCTTCACTCGAGCCGTCGGTCGAGCGTTCCGTCTTGAAATTGTTTCGCGATCGCCGGCGAATCTCCTTGAAGTTTAGGAACGATGGAGACATTGTTGTGCCTGGAGGCTTCTATTCACTCGAGGAGCCGGCAGAACCAAGGAGGCGGGAATGCCACCTTTCGAACCCAGTTACTATGCCAGCACAGGCAGACCGCCGCGATACGAACGAGATGGGCTAGATGCCGTGAAAGTCGGCTCGAAGCCTTGGAGGTACCCGGATTGAAAACCTAACAGAGTGAGAGGACAAAATTCTCTGTCGTAAGTGAGGTGTGGAAGTGAAGTCTTTCCTATTTGTTTGCGGTATTCGATGTAGAACTCAGGTAGGCAAAGGGATGAATGGGATGAAGGGGAGCTTGGCCTGCAGCTCTGGGGAATTGCATGGAGCTAGTGCAGAGGAAATTGACAGGACAGAAACATGCGGAATGAACGTCTAACACGCCGGTCTGCGTACTGACCGGAAGAAGGTCGGGACCCTGGAGATGGATCTCTGAAAGGCCAGTGTTGATTACCCACTGAGAAGTCCACACCCCGAGATTGCAAGATGGATGGCTGATGAGGTCGGATAGGTACCTTCTTCCCTGATTACATGTATCGTCATCCATGTATCACTACTATCGCTTACCCTGCAGGTGACTTTGTACCTTATGGTACTGAGCCATATATAGATACGTGTAGTGTAAGTTGGGGGTAGAACCGCATGGTGGAAACTGGGAAGAGCCGATCTTAGCTTTAGTCTCCACTTGACTACCGCCGGGATAGATGATACTATAATGTGTGTGTCTGTATATGCATGTTCGAAAGGGGGGAACATAGACTTGTACTAAGAGCATATGCTATCACGGAGTTACGTTGTATATAATGTGGACTAATTTGTTTGTTAATTCAAGTTTTAATTCTTAAAAGTATAATATATAATAACTCAAAAATACATGTATAATTAATCATACTATCAAGTATCTACGTACTATATTTAATCATTCTTCATAAATTTTAACCTTTTCCACATATTCAAGAATATTACTAGCAATAAAATCCTCGATTGTATCGCCTTGACCTGCCGCCACTCTAAGAATGTACTCATTTAGATTCTGTCTTCCTAGAATATCCACGTGATCCGCCGTATTCGGCCCTCCTCTCGGATTGAACCGTTCTGGTTCATGCGGCATCTCGACCACGGTTATTTTTAAGCCCGCAGGATTGTATCTCTTCATTTTCCACCCCTTATTGCACATGTACCCCAGACTCATAAGGTTCACTGTGCCATCGCCTTCGCCCAAGATCACACCGTGGTCAATGTGCCCCTGAGTCAAAGTCGTATCAATCGTCATCTTAAGATGCGTTGTCGTTCCCGGATCCGGCGCCCGATAGAAGTAGGCTCGCTCCGTCGGCTTCCCTACACCATAGAAACAGTAGACCTTGAGGCTTGGTGCCAATGGTAGTCGTGTCTCTAGAGGGTTGATCCATTTCCGAGGGTCATTCTCGTTAGCCTCCACTTCCGCCCTCGTCTTCGCCACCCCGTGAGAGTAACTGCCTTTCACTTGATCGCGGTACCAGTCATCGGTTGTGTCAAGTATATAGTCCATCGCGTCTTCGATCGTAAAATTCCTGTCCGGTGTTGTTGATACATTTTGCCCGGCGCGGAAATTCAGCAACGATCCATAGCTATGCCCTTGGCCTGGCTGGTCATCTGGAGCCCAATCCAATTCTCCCCAGACAGCGTTACCGCCCATGGGAAGCATGGATGATATTCCAGGCATAGCACGGAATATCTCGGCGCGTTCCTCCTTGCTAAGGAATTTCTCGAGACCGTAAACCGCGAATGCATTCATCTGCGCCGTATCCCGCATTTCACCGGAAAGGATCGCTGTTACATCTTTAACAGCTCCCAGCATGCATCCACTGATATTGATCCATGAATCAACATGTCTTTCCACCCAGTCTTGGCCGCCCTGGCCGCCTTTCTCGGAAGCAACCCAGTGAAAGAAGTAGAACAGAACCTGACTGCCCATGCTGTGAGAAGTCAAAACCACCTTCTTCTTGTGTATGAACACGGCTTGCTCAATGTAAGACTTGAGCCTGGAAAAGTAGTGATCGCGCACCTCGAGGTTTGCATATGCTAATCGCCAGTCGTAAGCCGCTGTGTATGAGTTGGTTGGGTCGTAGCCAAGAGATGCTAGATTCTCGAGGATCTTATTCCATATCCAGTAACCCGTGATAAAAAAGTCGGTTGCATCGAAACCCTGGGCGGCGCGTAGCTTGATACCCGGGGGATCTAATCCGGTTGTCTTGTCGAGCATGATGTGCCTCTTCCACGCCTCTTTATCCATGACAAGAGCTCGCATCATGGTCCAGCTTCCCCAAAGCCGCTTCCGAAAATAAGGCAACGACAGCTCAGACGTGCTCCATGATTCTAGACCTGTAGAGATGACCCCGGGGATCATGACTATAGGGTGGTCGGCCGATAGGCCTTCGGCGCGCATCTTCATGCCTACCGAGAAGGCATCATCGCTCTCTATCAAGTCTCGTTCGCCGTTCTAGAGGCCGGCAGGTAAGGTCAGATGCGTCAACAACAGCAAAGCTCCATATGCGCTATTGTTTCCACTCACCATCAGGTCACGCATCTCTTTGACAAAGCCGGCAGGCAATACCTCGAACAAGCTGTCCACACTGAGCTCCTTGAGCTCGGGGAGAGGAATATCGATCAGATCATTGCTTTTAGCAAAGAAGCCAGCTGCTATAATCCCAAACAGACTCCCCAACAGGAATATTGCTGTCGTCTTGCGCTTTCGGGTCTTGGGACGTTTGTGTATAACCTTGAAGGTGGAAGTGACTTCACGCTGCTGATTATCGGGACTCGGCTCGCGGGATGTTGCGGTCTCGGAGGCAGTTTCCGACGCAATCTCGCATTCGATGTCTTTGCCGACCAGCCTGCGCCGAACAGTTGTCGCCATTTCTCAGGATGCCGTGGCTGTTGCCGCCGCCGTAAGTTGCCGTTACAGCGCGAGGAAGATAGATTATCGGAGGGCAAAAGAAAATCAAGCTGGAGCAAGTGCGGATGAGCCGGGCTGTCAGACCGGTCAAATAAGCGAGCCGGTCACCGGAAGGGGCGGGCGTGATGTTTTGAACTGGCGGGCCTGCTCGAATTGCGTGATGTAGTGTACGTATCGGGTTCTGATAGTGGGCTGGCTGTTTGGCGCCGCCTCCGGTGACGCTACGGTCGTAGGGCTGGAGCGGGGAGTGTGGCACCACGCTTGGTATATGGATCACTTGGGTCATCGGCGATCTCGCCCTCCGGATGAGTCGAAGCTGCGATTTCGCACCTCACGACAGGAGTCGAGGGAATATCAATGCAGGATGTGTGAGCTACTAGAATACAATGCAGAATGTATTAACGGAAGTAGCGTACCAGAACGTTAATCCGCGCCTACCTTCAAAAAGTTGCGTGCCCCGGGCTCGAACCGGGCTTGGCTGTCGCTTACACTTGGGAGGTTGACACGAAAGCCTGCATTAACGGCGCTAGTGCCGTCAACAGAAGAGTGACGGGATGCGTAGAGGTATTTATCCGACACATCCAAGGTCTCCCGAAGACAGCCCTGAGCCGGGGCGGCATGACACTGACGTGAGGCCGGAGAATTAAGCATGGGAGGAACAGGTGTGGGCGGACTAAGTAAAAATGTTTAAAATGGATGGCTTCGAGTGATGGGGTGTCTGTGATAAATAGGCTATCCACTTACAAGGGAGATGTTGACACGCAACTGGCCTATTTACTGCACAGTAAGTTCACTACAGTCGACTCTCATGCAGAAAGACATGTGAAATCAGAGCTGCCCCTCCGTACTACCTAACCACCCCAGCTCGCCCAGCTGAGACAGAACCAGGTATGGACTTCTGAACAGCATATTCTCCATCTTAATCCAGCCGCGTGCCCCCCTTTCGTCTTCTCGAACGCAGCAAAAAACGTTTCGGATCCAGCTTCTTATCGACATGGAAACCACAACCGAAAAGGCGATAGTAGGAACGGAAGTACCGCGTGTCGAAGAGCTTCTAGAAGAGCTTCAGTACATCAAATATGAGCATAAGCTGGAGGCAGAATACCTCCCAGCTATCCGCGCGCTGATATCAAAAGACCTAAGCGAGCCCTACAGCATATATGTATATCGGTACTTTCTTTACCAATGGGGCCACTTGTGTTTTATGGTATGTGGACGTTCTCAACCTGTTCAGGCTTGCGTATGGGCATGGGGCCAGGTGAGCTGACCGCTCAACAAACCCAACAGGCCTTGCACCCAGTCGACTCTTCTCTTATAGGCGTGATCATCTGCAAACTCGAACCGCACGCTTCTCACTCCCCGCCCACTCTTCGCGGATACATTGCTATGCTTGCCGTCTCTTCTCAACATCGCGGACACGGAATTGCGACAGAACTGGTTAGGAGAGCCATCGACGCCATGGCTCAGCGAGACGCCGACGAGATCGTCTTGGAGACAGAAGAGACCAACATCCCGGCCATGAGACTTTACGAGCGCCTGGGCTTCGTCCGCTCCAAAAAGCTTCACCGTTATTATCTGAACGGAAACAGCGCATATAGATTGGTCCTCCTCCTCAGATCTGTCGATGCGGATGCGACATACGACTACGCCCTTGACGACCGAGACATTGCGCTTCGATGAATCTGGTAGTCAAAGACTGTCCGAGCCGTTGCTGGGAGCAGCAGTGCGCCGCCATCACAACCCCTTTGGTGCCTGTCCTTCCCTTCACCATCGACGCACCACGACTTGGGGGCCCAATGCTGGAGGCTTCGGGTGTAAGATGGACAGGATAACAAGGAATGGAGCCATAGCTTGAGCATATTGGCACCCCCACGGGTTCACGCCAAATGAGGGTTTTCACCTCTCCGCATGCTGCGTGGCCCGAACGTTGACAACCATGAACACTGAATAGCCGATCTCATGGTATCCACCTGCCCACGAAGCCTGGGGCGTTAAGAGGTTTTTAGATGTAAGGTGACACTGCGGTGAAGTGTAAAGTTCGTGGGTTGTGGACCTTAAGCTCCGTCAAAAGTTGAGATGTTGGCAGACACATATGTTATAGAGTCAAAAAGACCTGCTTGAGGACGTTTCGGAGGCATGGACTGTTGATGTATTAGGGCAACGGAATCAACCCGACCACTTGTCTGCCGGCCCAACTGGCCTAGTTCGTTGAATATATGATATTGAAGTGGTTAAAGCTTCAGTCGTGAACACTGCCGGCGTGGGGGTACCAAGTTTAGATGGTAGAGGTATGGAATGATGGCCTACAGAAAGGCCCCACTTGCTCTTTTGCAGGTTGGGGTCTATGTTACCAACCTACTTGGTAGGTTCTGCTGCCGCCTGGGACTGCAATATACATACATGTGCCGTACGGTAGAGGTACATCGCTGCATTGCCTGCCGTACACCTTTTTGAGTGACAGTCTTGCATCACAAGTACTTGGAGGGACGGTCTACCCACCTTCAGACGTGTGCAGGAGTGTAGGTACATATGTACTTGGAGATGGAAGGCGAGTGGCGTAGAGACCTCTCCACGTGTGCAGGTGGTATGTACTATCTAAGGTAGGTAAGGCAGCCCCCACAACCCCGATGTCACTACTGGGGGGACACTAGTGTACAACTTTAAGTACGGAACTCCCCACAGCCTTGCATGGACTGCACCCTAGAACTATACCGAGCAGGCCTCTCCCTAAATCCGCCGCATTTGACTGCCCGTTTTCTTCCCAAGTAACGACATCCTCCCGCGCAGCCTCGATAACCCAGTAGATCCAACGCGGCGGATTAGGTCGGCAAAGGTACACATTGCCTATGCGATACCAGCACGCCGCCTTTCGTGATGCCCAGTTCATTGGTCGCGAGGACAACATTGGTGCTGCTCGCTTGAGAACATGGCGGACCTCGAGGTCACTGAGCCTGTTGAGAACGAGCAGCAGTTTTGGCACGGTGAGCAAGCTTGCTGAATGGCCCTCCCCTTTTGTGGTGCGCTTGTTTCAATTGCTGAACAAATACCTTTCGCAGCCCTGAACAGCATCCTTTCCGCCCCCTGCCCTACCCCCGAGTCCCTCGACGACGTTCTGCGATCATGGCTTGAACTGGTCGCGACCGGCCGGGACCGCTATCTCGACGATGAAGACGACATTGCGACTTGTTCCCAACAGCTCCGACTTAGCAGCATCTTCAGACAGAACGCCGACTATGTCCGTACCCAGATCATATACAGCCTATTGCAGGAGGACGAGTACGGGCCGTTGCATGTCATTTCCAACTTCCTCCTGCTAGATGGCCGTGCCGAGGAAGAGACATTCCGGCGCATGGTCAACGAAGGATGTTTTTTGCGACTGCTCGAGCTCATCAAGAGTTGCGGCGCGCACGATGGCCGTCTTCACCGACTACTTCTCGAGTTGATGTACGAGATGTCTCGCATCGAAAAGTTGCCGCATCAAGACTTGGCTCAGGTAGAAGACGAATTCGTCATTTACCTCTTCCAACTTATCGAGGCCTTCTCTGACGACGTGGACGATCCGTACCATTACGCCGTTATTCGTGTCCTGGTATGTTGTTGTGCCCCAAATCCGCTTTACGACCTAACCACTAACGTTGGCCATGGGTAAGCTGGTCATGAACGAGCAATACATGGTTGCGTCAGCATCCGGAGCTGTTGACCCAACTGCGCCTGTTACTCATATCACAAACCGAGTCGTCAAAGTCCTCAGCCTCCATGGCCCGTCTTTCCGAACTTTTGGCGAAAACATTATCTTGCTTCTAAATCGAGCAACCGAAACATCACTCCAGCTGATAATATTGAAGCTGCTGTATCTGTTATTCACCACCAAGGCGACATATGAATACTTTTACACCAACGACTTGCGCGTCCTTCTTGACGTCATCATTCGTAATCTGCTCGACTTGCCAGTGGAAATGAATACCTTGAGACACACATATCTGCGCGTTCTCGCTCCATTATTATCGCACACCCAGCTCAGCCAGCCGCCACATTACAAGCGCGATCAAATTCTTAGCTTGCTTGAAATACTTCGTGGCTCAGGAAGTGCGCACTTCCTACCGCCCGAGCCAACTACCCTCCGCTTGGTTGAGCGTGTCGCAAATATTCCATGGCTAGTGGACGATGAGGGCGTCTTGAGTCCTGTTCCCATGAAGAGCCTCACGCAGGCGCAAAACGGTAGTACCGTTAGCGTCATTGCAAACGTCCACGAGAAGCCAGGTATAGAAACACCAAGCAGAAAATCAAATCTCGCTCGTGAGCTCAGGCATGAACAGGAGGATGCGGAAGACACCGTGAGGTCAATAATCGCCGTCAGTCCCGCGAGTGATACGCCAGAAACTACAACCTCGAATCTCTCGGTATCGAGTACCACCGAAGGGCATAAAGCAGCAGGCCGTCGAAAGCCGTCACCACCGCCGGCAAGACGGCTGAGGGCCCAGAAATCGCTTCCTATTGTTCCAAAGCATCGCCATGGTGTGCCGGTCTCCCCGCAACCACCACATACGCCAACAAGGATGATCGAGAATTCCACATTTGCCCAAGGTGACAAGCACGGGGTTGCTGCTGCTAGCAGCTCATCACCGACAGCGGCTTCGGCTGCGGAAGCCGTATCTGGTGATGGCAAGGTGAGTGGACCAGTGGCCAAAAAGCAGCCCCCCAAGCTCCCCCCTCCACGGCGCGGCAAACTCAGGGCTGTCAACAGTTTGTCGACATTACATCCGGTGACGGAGTCGCTACCCCAAACTGGGTCGACACCGGTAGCTTAGTCGGCGCCTTGTACGGTAACTGACAAGAATCTTGATTTGCGGGCCGGATTTACTGTGATGTCGAGCATTCTATCAAACACCAAGGTGGCTCGCCCCAGCAATGCGATTCTTGCGAACATGACATTCTGTAGATAGAGTCACAGGAAAACGTGATAGAGCCCTGAATTGCCCTGGCATGGGGCACAAAGAAAAAAAGAGGGGGGGGGGGGGGGACAAGAGGAGGGGACACGAGGTTGCCCAAGTCACATGTTTGGATCGGCTTGCAAGGCTTCGAGGGTATATCGACGAACACTGTATGGGGTATCTTGTCAAACTCACCTCGGGTTAGCCGGCGGATCACTATTCCAGTTGTCACTCTTACTGGACGGCGGAGATTTCGCTGGTTCCTAAAATGGCCAAGGATATTAGGTAAGGCGTTGTATCAGAGGAGGTTGAGAGGAGGTTATGTTAGAAGGTGTTGGATAAGGGAATCTGAATGTTGTGTGTCATTTTCATCAGAGAGAAGCAAAGCGGGCAGCCACAGGCTCCGTATATCCTTTGTAGGATGAAATGTAACGGCTGCCGTAGCATTCTAACCACAACCAAGCGCTGACCCCAGTAAGGTTGAGATTATACAAGCAATTCCCATTCATGAAGACAAGGGCAGGGCAGCTTGGACTGAGTAGTAAATGAAGACCAAAGAGGAGTTGCAAAAAGGCCGACAGACGGGATTTCGAATAGGACAGCGGTATGAGTGTAAGAGGTAAGTAAGTAGAGAGGTCAAGTGGCATGGGACGACGAATGCAGGGGCAGTCAATTGTCCGGGTGAATGAAACTACCCGTTTCGAGCCCGTCTCCCCGTCCACTCCCGTCTTGGCGGTGCAGTGGATGGCGGGGCGGCGAGGATCCACGTCCCGAGCCGGACCCCGGTCTTTTCTCGGCCGGCTCCAATTACTTTTCGGGCGACCGACCGCGCGCCTGTGCCTTGCAGCATTGTCTCGCTCCTAGTGTTCCCGCCCATAGCAGTGTCACCTCTATCACCACCGCCCACACGACCTCAGATCCTGCCCCGACTCTGTCCGGAAGTTCTGAACTGCGCGCAACTAGCGACCTTTGCGGGCACACATCGGCAAATCTTTCCCTCACGCGACTACTGTGTTAAGGGACCGAAACACCGAAACGACCGAACGCCGAATCGTCGCATCAAATTCGACCGGTCACCCGAACTTTGCCCCGCAAGTCCTCAAGGTCATTCGAGAAGGACCCTGCCAGAGGCCGTGGATACGAGATCAACCCTTAAAGGGTAGACAGCCACCAAACAATAAAGAAGGAAACAGGAAACAGAGTCAGCAAAAATGGCCTCGACGATAGCAGCGGCTACGAAAGTCTCCCGGAAGATGTTCCGTGAACTTCACGGTGTCGTCGTGACCTCTGGCCTGATTGATAAGACGGTCAAGGTCAGGGTAGGCGGGCAGAAGTTCAACAAGTTCCTCCAGAAGGTGTGTATGCGAACCCACGGCTATTCTCCAAGACATGGGGCATAGTAGGAGAGTCGTCAGCTAACCTTTTCTTCCTTTCTCTTTTTTTCTTTTCCACCCATCCAGCACTTCGACGACCCAAAACAATACCTGGTCCACGACCCCAACAACTCTCTCCGTGCCGGTGACGTGGTCGCCATCATGCCCGGCTTTATCACTAGCAAATCCAAGCGGCACGTGGTCAAGCATATCATTGCGCCCGCCGGCACGCCGATCGAGGAGCGCCCGCCCATCCCTTCACTGGATGAGCTCTGGGACGCCAAGGACGCGGCAAAGGCGGCCAAGAAGGAGCGCAAGGTGCTGCGGGAAAAGATCCAGGCAGCTGAGGAGGCGATTGAGCTTGCTGAGAGAATGGCCCGCCACGCCGTGAGGGAGATTGCGATGCGCGAGAAGATCATCAGCTTACAAAGGGTTGATTGAGGAACGCAGTGTGGACAAGCCGAGTGACGAAGACGAGGGACCAGGATTGGAGCGAGATGCAATCCGACATACGTCGGTTCATGCACGTCCTCACTAGTTGTGTCTTTTGCTAAAGGATGGTGTTGACGTTGGGGGAGGAGAGAGAAGGGGGGGGGGGTGGTGGTTGGTTATGGTCCGAGGTGTCTAGACTTGTGTCAAGGATTGTGTCGAGAAGGCATAAACAGATTTCGAGCACAAGCTGTTGGTAAATACGTGCAGGATTATCAAAGTAGACACGCTGTACGATATAAAGGACAACGCTAGATGTCACAAAACGGATGGGAAGCATGGTGTCCGGAACTATTCGTCAACCTCTCGGAGTGAACGACGGGCAAGGGCGCAATGGATGGAAGGGTGATTATACCAATTGACACATGGAGAGCAGTGTGCAAACCAACTTCAATGCGCGCTGAACGATTTATTTGGTCAGCAAAGCGGAATTCTCCTTGGATTGCTGTGTGATGGACTACGATCACCTCCGCCCTCTTTGCTGCCACATATGGGTGCTTTCCGAATGCGCACCGTTACTTTTCCGCTCTGCTCCTTGCCCTGCCAGCTTATAGATACCTATGGTTGTGATGCCTGTCACACTCTTTGATTTGTATCAACGAGCAATACCCTTCTTTGATGTGATTGCTACAGGCTTGCCAGACCCAGACATTACGCATTCCCTGACAGCCTGAGTACCTTACTCTGTTTCGTCGCCTCGTGGCCTACTCCCTCACTAACCGCCTCTTTCTCCAAAATCTCTTGCCCAATCTTCATAAAACTTCAGGTTTGCCTTGCTAACGCTAGGCCGAATGGTAGCCAGACTGGTGACGAAATCCTTCAGCTCTATTGGGCGTATTTGGTCCATGGTCGTTTGTAGTAACGCTTCACCTAAAGACCGCAAAGGACCCATGGCCGCATCTTTAGCTAACGCTGTGATATCGGATCCGGAAAATCCTGCGAGGTGCACGTGCTTAGCAAAAGGTATCTGGCGGGCAACCCGGCCAGGGAGTAAATTGGCTGGCGAAACATTCACGAACGGGTAGGGCCACTTACCATCGGTCATATCCACAAGCTCATTGATGTCCTCGTTGGTCAGTGTATGCTTTTGCTGACTGAGGAGCGTTTTGAACTGAATTGCTCTTGTATCTGCTTCGGGAAGTGGGATATACTGTCTCCTCACGAATCGTCGCCTTGCAGCCTCGTCGATAGCCCACGGGAGATTCGTGGCGGCAAGCACCAAGACTCTGTTCACATTATCATCGGTGCCGTTTTCCTTTGTTCCTATTGCTGTACTTTCTTTGCCGGCAGCAGCTCTCTGAAGATCACTCCATTGAATGAGGAACTCCGTCTTAATCCTCATCGTGGCCTCGTGTTCCCCAGAGCCAGATCTCTGCGACAGCAGCGAGTCAATCTCATCAACAAAAATGATGCTCGGCGACAATACCTTTGCCAGCGTAAACAGTGCCCTAACAAGTTTCTCTGATTCGCCGAGGTACTTACTTGTCAGACTACTAGCAGAGATGGAGAAGAAGGTAGATTTGGACTCCGTGGCCACTGCGCGCGCCAACATAGTCTTTCCTGTTCCCGGTGGCCCAAAAAGCAGCATGCCTCTGGCCGGCTCGCGAAGACCCCTAAATAGATCCGGTCGTAGAAAAGGATAAACTACGGTCTCCCGAAGTGCATTTTTGGCTACCTCGAGGCCGGCTATGTCATTCCAGTGAACTTCATCACCCTGAACGACGATTTCATTTAGAATCTGTTTCGCAGCATGTTCATCAACCCCTGGAGGAAGACGGCGCAATATCTTTGCCTTTTGCTTGTTCCACTTGGCAGCTTCTGACCTTTGTTGAGCCGCCCCATCGTTGCCTTCAGATTCTTGGCTTTCGGAGTTGTGGGCCGGTGTATCGGCAACTAGGGAAACATCCCTCTGCTTCAGTCTTTGTCTTAGGTGCTGTCTTGTTGTCGGCCGTCGGGGAGTTTCATGTTCAGAATCCTCAGAACTTGACGAAATTGGGACTTGTTCAAGCTTTTTGCCCCTTGCCTTAGCGCTCATCCGAGGTGTATCAACATCTTGTGTCGTTGCTGATCTGCCGGACGCAGGCCTTGCCGTGCTTGTTAGGTAAGAAGTTCGGCTGATGGGCTTCCGGTGGGCCAGCGTTGGATCGGACATCTTTCTGTTCGATTTTCTGGTCGTTGTTGCGCTTCCTTTCGCAGAGTATGCAGTGTCTTCCTCATCCGTGTTCCCCGTCGCAGGCAGAGGCCTCCTCCTTGGTGTCTGTAACGGAGCGGTTCTTAGCCGGAGTCCTTCCCCCCCTTCCAACGGCGAGCGCTCGTTGTTATCCCTCAAAGTCAATGAGTTGAGTGCACTTGATGCGGCAGCAGCGCTGATGGTGAAGGAGGATTGGCGAGTGTGTGTATGGTCATCAGAACGGCAGGGTGTCGATGATTCCGGAGTAGGCCGTGCATGAGGCGGTTTGGATTGGCTCCGAGGACGACCCATGACCAATCGCCTGGTATGCGTGTCCCATTGCTGCTGCCGGCCTGCCAACGCTGGACTTTGACGTCGCCTTTCCACTAAGTAGGGAGAGCTTGCGGGCGGTACCGAACTCGTCTGATCAGTGGTGCCAGTTCCCCCACTATTACCGCTGGCACTCCCTAACGGACTCGATCTTTCTCTTTTCCCAAGATAGCTCCAGGCAAGCGAGGCTGCCTTACTGGCACCAGGGCGTTCTGAAACCGAGGTTGGAGGCGTCTGGCGATGGCTAGTTCTCTTGTCTCCCAAACGTCCGGTCCGCAGGGTTGTGCGCATGGTATGCTTCTCGGGGCTGCGTGTCCCTGACGATGTTCCCTCCTCGAGCGAAGGCCTTGACGCCGACGGTGGCGACGGTAACACTGGTCGTGTGCATGCAAAGGGAAACTCCCCGCCTGGCGTACGCACCTCGGCAGAAGGCCCGGGTGTAGGCATGGTATGTTCTGAGATGGACCTAGTCCCTACAAAGGGTCGCTTGGCGGGAGTTGGTCGGGAAAGGTCTGTATAGGTTACGGCTGGGATTGTTCCGTCACCTATCCAGCCCTTGGGGGGGTCTGAAGGGTTCGGCAACGGTGACAAACGTGACGCGGATGGTGTAGCGTCATGCTCGAGAGATTCGAGGCGCGAAAGACGCAGGGCCTCTAGAAGATCAATTCGTTCCTTGCACTGTACCTCGAGTTGCCGAAGACTGTCCACCAGCGCCTTCTCCGTCTCGGAACGTGGGGTGAAGGCTGGCAAGATTTTGTTTGCTTGCTGGTCATAGATCTGCTCGAGTGCCTGTTTCCAGCATCGCATAGCCTCATCCTCATTGCCCTAGATGACCGCGCAAGATTAGCACTTGGTTACTGACAGATGGGAGAAAAGGGTGACGATCACAGAACGTCATACTGACCTGGCCTTCGTAATAGACAGCAGTGGAGCATGTCAGGTAGCTTTCATCGTATGTCTTCTGCAAAACTGAAGCGGCTGATCTGTTGCGCAGCATCGTAAGAAGTAAGACGTATACACATCACGGAATGTCTGTGTGCACTTTTCAAAAGGGCGCAGCGGGCTTCCGCTCTCCAAGGGCGGCCTAGGTAGACGGGAGTGTCCGGTCAAGAACAGGATCTCAGCAGATGCTGTGGATCGGCCTGAACACTACAGATCTACGCGCACAGACGGCATCGCCGTTGCGAAGGGTGTTGAACAATCGGGCGGTCGCAAAACGTCCCGAAGGCAGTTGCCGAATGGAAGAACAGGTCTAACGAAGGGCCCCAAGGAAGGCTCAGGTCCACGTTTTTTGAGGCGTAGAGGTACCAGCGCGCTTCTGTAGGCCACCGGAATCCGGAGAGGAGACGAATTGGCGGAGCAACGTGACGTTGACGCAATCAATGTGCGTTGTTGATTCGCGACCAGGACGTGCCAACTAATTGAGTGTCTTGAGGTTAGTATCAAGGTTTTGTATACCAGGTAGGTATCCAGGATCTAAGCTTGCACACAGTAGACCTACATATAGGATCGATGGTATTTTTGTTTTAGTGTAGTTATGTTGCCTTATGAACGTTGTTGCAACCGCCTAAACGGGACCTAGCTCCCTAGCTGAAGACGTAGTGGGGCAATTGGGGCGGGAAGGCGGGGACCTGGCAGACAGTGGCAGGTACCCGGGCCTTTCTCGCCTTTTTCGTTTGTTTGTCTGCCTTGGCCCGTTCCACCTGTTACCTACACAGTACCTACCTTTTGGCCTCTGGACCATAGTAACGAACAGGCCCAACCTACATTTACCTTAGGTGGCACCCGACGTTCCCCTTGAGGGGGAGGTCGATAGCACGACGTGTATCGTTCATCTGAGCTTCCATCGGGACTATCAGCATCCCGTCAGGCGCGGCCCGAAAATGACGTTGATATGCGATATGTACCTATTCCTGGGCATCGGAAATCGGGACGGCCGAATGGGATGCCCCGCACCGCCCACTATTCAGCAGCTTCCAGATCCTCCTCGTCCGCGGCTCCGCGCTTGAGGGGACTCGCAGGGCTGTCGGGATTCAAGCTCAGTCTCATCCCATGCAAGAGAGCTGTCAGTCTTGTATTTCCTTGTAAAGGTACCCAAGTTTGTCACTACTTGAGGGCCGTTTTTCAGTCATACGCCGACGACCACACCAGTGTACACACTCGACCGGGGTTCTCGGCTCCGTCTACTTCCCAAGGTTTACCTTGCCCAGCAGTCTAGATTTTTATGAGATTGAAACTATGTTGACGAGAACATGGCAGACCTGGGTCCCGTCAGTAAAAACAATAGCTGGCTTCTCCTGCCTTCGCCGTTTCGCTCACGCTACGACAATAGCACGCGGATCTCGCTCGATGTCCTTGGGAACAGCGCCCGAAAACTTTGGGAGTGTTCTTCGTCGCCGTCCTCCTCAACTCTCCTTTGCTTCTCCAGTTCGTCAGCCGACAACAACATCTCCTCCACATGTTCAAAATCCACGCAGAATCTTTCGGCTGCCTCCTCAGTCACACTGCTCGCCAGCTTGGAATCCTGCAGATTCTTGAGCTTTTCCGTTGCATCAATCAGCGCCGATGGCAAGAAATCGTCTAGCTTCTGACTTGACTGTCGCAGTACTTCAGGTTGAACCTCCTCTAGTGTCGCAACCTTTTCAACATCATCCTTCTTCCGTATGTCTAGCCCATCCAGCGCTTCAATGAGGGAATCTAAACCGGAGTCGGCCCTGAACAGCTCGTACTGTGCAATAACCAACCGAGCCTTTTCCTCCTCAATTTTGGTCTGTATTTCTGTAGCATATTTGCGAACAAAAGTGAAGCCGGAGAGCGTTGTCCGCGCAGCCACGAAGCAGTTGATCAGGAAGATGGATTTGGACGGCGGGGTGGCATGGTTGGCCATATTGATGCAGCCAGCCATGAATGGGTCGAATGCCTCAGCCATGATGGACGCGAACTCTGCTTCTGGATCATCACCCGATGAGCTTAGTGACGTTTCGTACGTTTTCATGATTGCCGATAGCTGTTCCAACGCATCCGTAAGGAAGTCGGGAGGCCGAAGGTCTGGTGGAGTGTGCTGGAACTCAGTTTGAAGAGTGGCGACGTGGTCCCGAGCCAGAGATCGGAATTGGCGCAATGCTTCCGTTTCGAGGGTACCCATCGCTTCAACGAGAACCGACGCCGGGCCCACCAACCTGGAGAATGTGCTCTTATAAAAGTTGATGAGGTTCGCAAGTTTGAAGGCCAGAATGGTCTCCTCGTTCGTCTGAATAACCTGTTCGACCCTCTGTCGTAATATGCGAACTGCACCAGACATGTCTCTATCTACTAGTTGGTTCAGGGCCACGACAGGATCGAAGATATTCATTTCCTCCCCATCCTCGGCCACGAGCCGCCAGACTTCAGCCTCTCTGCCCACCTGGATGCCTTTGGCGATCTCGTCACCCTCGGATATGAACAAGACTTCGAGTGCCTCTCTTTCGCCCACTGCGGCCGAGTGAGACCAGGCGAGCATGTCCCCCACATATCTCAAGGGGTCATGTGCTACTAGCTCAATGGGCTTAACCGAAGGGTCCTCCAGTCCAGCAGCCGAGCTGCCTGTCAAGGCAGTGTAGAAAGCCTCGGAAAGGACGTGCTCGCGGGCTTCGGCGAAGAAATCTAAACAGTTTTGGAAAAGGGTAGGTCTCTCAGCCAGGACGCGGAGAGCTCGACGGATGGCCGAGCCAATTTGGGGGTTCTCAAGATTCAGCGATTTAAACTCCCTCTGGATCCATCGGTAAAGTTTCTGGAACCCGTGATTCAAGTTCCGTGTGACCTGCTCCATGATGCCCAGCCCTAGCGTCTGATCCTCAAAGCCCAAGAGAACCTCGCAGTCACGGCTGATCTTTTTGGCCTTGGCGAGGACTGTGAAAAAGAGGTCGTCTACAGGCTCCGAGGTCAAGGTCAAGGCGTCAACTTCGTCCTGTGTGAGGATGAAGTGGGTCTTGAAGGTCGAGAGCAACTTTTGCTTGCTTTCGATCTGCCGCTTCTGCGTCATGAGTTGCGAGGCTTCGCCCAAGGTGGATGCGGTGGATGCGTGAGCTGCATGGATCTGTGTTCTCATATCATTATAGCTTTCGTTGAGCTTGCCGATGGTGTAGCCGATGCGTTTGAGTTGCTAAAAGTGTATCAGTGTGCGGCTCACTCGCCTGTGATCAGGACTCGAGTGGTATGAACAACACATACCTCGGCGACTTTGCCGAATTCATGAATGATCTCTCCATTGCTGTCGATGACCTCTTTTTGGAGATCCAGTCGAAGCTTGCGACGGTTCTCTGCTACGTTCTGAAGCCCTCGCTCATCAAGCAAGAAAAGGACCTCACGGAACTCGGTGTCGGCATACGAGGTAGACAAGACGCTGGCGATCTTGGAGGAGAGGGCACTTGTACCCGCACCCTTGGTCGATGTTGGAGTGAAGGGGCCTGTTGGCGACAGGAGCTCCGAACTGTCTCGCGGCGACAGTACCAAAGACCGTACCGGAGGCGCGGATGTCGAACCTGTGAGCATGATTCCAAGCTTATCAGGAGCGGGAATTCTTGCCCAGTGTCCAGGGAGAAAGGTATCTGCTGATCTGTCACAGAAACAGTAGTTGTAGGAACGGCTTGTGCCGTTGGCTCAGGGCACCCCGTATTGCCCCGCTATCCCGGGCGGATCTGTTGTCTGATGGGTTTATGAAGAGCCCTGCAAGTTTTATGTCCTTACCAGGATCGATCTGGACCTCAGGCACACTAGAGGTACACTTTCAATCGTTCGTCTGCGACACACAATGATTTTGAAATCCAACCCGAAGAACGTACACTAGGTATAGAGGTATGTAATGTAGAAGGATCCCTCCTTTCGGAGCCCCTGAGTAGTATAGAAAGTGGACTATTTACACAGTACACAGCCCGTGGAGACGTGACTCTCTTGGCGCCATGTACCACCGTCTTTTAGAGGGACAGTGCCCAGAGGGTGGGAGGGAACTCTGTGTATACACTACACAGCAGGTACGCTAGGTACTGTAGTGTAATTAAAGGTAGGTAGACAGGTACCTTCAGCATCACATGGGAGGCACGTACTGTAGTGTAGATGCAATGCGCTGGCTGATAACATTCACGTGTCCTCTCGCATTCACCGCCTGCCTAGGTAACATGTTGGTTCTGGAGGTACCTAGCGTGGTCCATGACCTAACAGTGAGACCCACTAAGCCTAGTAGTATGTACCTATGTACCTATCTCTGGTGTATGGACGTCCGTCCGTCATTCCCGCTTTGGAGTGGAGGTTGCCCGGCTAGGTACACTAGAGGTGTAGTTGTAGTGTAGATACCCGACGGGAGCTACGTAGGTAGGTACCGTCGCACCCCTCGCAACCGGCGTGTCCTTCTGTCACCTGGCCCCTCAGCAGCCCTCTCCCACCCGACTGCCTGGCGGGAGCCTGTTGCCTTTACCCTCAATACCTACCCACCTACCGCGCGTTCCAAGACATCTACGCCTTCACACTACATGAGGTGAATGATAGGTAGCCGAGGACAAGAATACTCGAAAACCAACAACTGCGACTCAATTCCCCGTTTGCATAGGGTAGCTTTAGAAGACACGCTACTTTTGTATAACAACTTGCGGGACGACACTATTTAGATATTCATCAGGTGTGCCTCGACAGTCTCGCCTTCTGCCTTCTTCAAAATCAACACCTACCTACCTATACCCGGCCCTGTCAGCGCCGCTCTGTCAATCGCCTATCCAGCCTCCATCTCAACGATTTAAACACCACAGAGCCGAGCACGCAGTCCATCTCGAACCAAGCAAAGCGGCCCCCCCAGGCACATCCTTCCTTGAGCGCCGTCTCCGAAAGCCCCCGTCTTTACCGACCGCTGTACGATACCCGATCGGTGATCATTAGCCTGGATGCTCACTCGCCTTTTCCCAACCGAGCCACCGTAACTTCGGACAGTCGCTCCAGTACAAAGACCAAACGTCGGCTAACGAGCTCATGGCGGACGGGGTCATTGCCAGGCTCATGTCAGGTGGTCGTGGCGCGCGCTCTTTCTATGAAGAGTTACGTGGCCGCGACAATGTCTCTGATGTTGACGATCGTGCTGGGCTCTTGGATGAAGAAAATCTCAACCAGCATTTTAATGACTACGATCTTGAAAATGCAGAAGGGCTAAGACTTGAGGACAGTAGGGCCACTGTCGACGGCCGGATCCCACGAGGCCGAGCCCGAGTTTCCGGCCGTCCACCACGTCCAGCTGCTACCACACATTGGGGTACCAGCTACGATGACGACGGTGACAATGACGTACCCGCCTCCCTGCTTGTTGAACGTTATGATAGGGGAGCTGCTCCTTTGGGCTCGCCGGGGAAGCCGAGAAGTCAGCATGCAGGATCGCGTGCGCATCCTGCTCCAGGGCTGTCCAAGGGCCGTACGCATCAACAAAGGCCACATATCGACCAAGAAATTCAGCCCCCGCTGCATAGCAATGCCGCGCCTAGCTCCCTTCTGACTGGTGCTCTAACAGGCAACGCTAAGAAGATGGCGGAATGGAGATGGGCTAATATTGCTCATCTTGACAGCTTCATGCAAGACGTTTACAGCTACTACCGGGGGAGTGGAATGTGGTGTATTGTGGTTGAAAGGGTGCTTCACTTGATGTGAGTGAGCCTTGTCCCTCGCACGTCTTCAGAGCAGAAAGAACCGGCCGCATGAGTGAATACTGACAACAGCAACAGCAAAGTCGCCTTTGTAGCTTTCCTTTTGACATTTCTCTCCCAATGCGTTGACTTCAAGAAGATTCCGAGTAACCAGAAGCTATCTCAAGTCCTCGTTCCTCAGTGTACTCGGAATATGTCCGGGTTATGGAACATCGGTCTGTGGCTCTTTGCCTTCTATTTCATGTGGAAATCAATACAGTACATCCTTGATTTGCGCCGGCTGACGCATGTTCGGGATTTTTACATCCATCTGCTCAACATTCCCGATGAAGATATGCAGACCATCACATGGCAGGAGGTTGTAGCCAGGATAATGGTACTCCGGGATCAGAACGTAAGGACGACTAGGACCATGACACCGCAAAATCAGCGCTGGGTCCTTGGTAGCCAATCCAAGGAGAGGCTGGACGCTTCCGACATTGCGAATCGACTGATGAGACGAGAGAACTATATGATCGCCATGATAAATAAGGATATACTCGACTTGACGATCCCTCTGCCGATTCTTCGCAACCGTCAGCTTCTTTCACAGACGCTCGAATGGACTCTGATGTTCAGCATTCTCGACTTTGTCTTTGACCCCAAGGGTCAAGTACATCAGGAATTTCTCAGGTCCGATCGCCGGGGCATTCTCAGCGCCAAACTTCGGAGCCGGTTCATCTTCGCCGGCGTTATGATTCTCATACTGTCGCCTTTCGTGGCAGGGTACCTTATCATCGTGTATTTTTTGGAATATTACAATGTACGTCAACTTGGGCGTGATTACATGGTAAAGATGCCATCACTGACACTGTTTTTTTCTAGGAAATCCAAAAGAACCCGTCGATATTGTCCGCGCGAAGCTACACACCTCTTGCGGAATGGAAGTTTAGAGAGTTCAACGAGCTTCCTCATCTGTTTAAGAGACGATTGGACATGTCTCACCCCTTTGCTAGCCATTACATTGATCAGTTTCCCAAAGCCAAGACCTCAATGGTGGCCAAGACTGTGTCATTCATAGCCGGCTCGATTGCTACGGTCCTTGCTTTAATTTCGGTTTTCGACCCGGAAATGTTCCTCGGCTTCGAAATCACGCACGATCGCACCGTGCTTTTTTATACGGCTGTGTTTGGAGCTATTTGGAGTGTAGCTCGCGGGAGTGTGTCCGAAGATAACGCGGTATTCGATCCTGAGTATGCGCTTGGCAATGTGGTGGAATATACGCATTACCAGCCGGAGCACTGGAAAGACCGGTGGCATAGCGCTGACGTGAAGGCTGAGTTCGAGGAGCTTTACAAGTTGAAACTGGTTATCTTCGTCGAAGAAATTCTCAGCATCTTGACAACTCCCTTTGTCCTGTTTTTCAGCCTTCCCAAGTCAGCTGATCAGATCATTGACTTCTTCCGTGAATTTACGATTCACGTGGACGGTCTTGGCTACGTGTGCTACTTCGCCGAGTTTGACTTTAAAAAAGGCTCCAAAAATCAAGCGCCAGCGGCGACCGCAGGCGAAGGAGATGTACGAGATGACTATTACTCTACAAAGCATGGCAAGATGGAGGCGTCCATGTATGGATTTATCAACAATTATGCTCGAAACCCAAAACATCTCCCGCCTGCGATGCGTCAGCATTTTCACTTGCCGCCGGTCTTCCCCGGCATAACTTCGCCAACGTTGGCAAGTGATTTGGCAGCTTCACGTATGGGCCGCAGCCAGCGAGGAAGGAGTAAAGGTCCCCTCCCTTCGCGTACGCCGCGGCCTGGGGCGGTAATGGCAGAGCCTTCGCCTATGGCGTCCATCCTCCTGGATCCGCGCCATCAACCAATTTTCCCTAACAACATGAGCTTTGTCAACACGGGACACCAGTTCCGTGGGGGTAATCAGGGTGATGGTCACATGACGGGAGGAGGATCGATGGAGGATGTTAAAGGTGCTGCACGCCACGGTCAGCAAACGCACGACGACGAGTTGGAAGACAGCAGGGCAGGACTGGATGAATCAGCATGGCAGGTATCGCCAACCAAAGATTTGAGCAGAGAAAACAGCGGGCGGGGCCTGGACTCGGTTGTCGGTGAGGAAGGGGGAAATGGAGCTGGGGTGGTACACATGCTCTATCAGTTCAACCAGGCGCATCTGAATAGAAGGCTTGGTGGTGTGAGATGAAACGACCAAGACCCTCACGTCACGGGTCGGGGACTTGGATAATTCTAGAGGAAAGCGCAGGTATCACGGGACGAACATATGATACCTGCCAGGTACTTTGGCATGACACTGAAGAAAAGCGTTGGGAACACCGGGTCTGTAGCATACTACATTGTGCAACATTAATCTGAAGTTTCCTCTCTGGCTTTCAGATCGGCAGTTTTTTTAGCGATAAAGTGGCGCGACTACGGTAATCGTACTGGGGAGGGAGGGGACTGTGCCGTCGAGTTTGATCGAATCGGAAAATGCTTACGTTGTACGAAAACAGACACACAGTACTAGTAGTGTATATACACTATGCTATCCGATACTCGGATCTGATAAGGCAAAATCCATGGATCTGATAACGGTTAGATGGCCCTGGACGCCGGCTGTGACAGCTGCAACCCATCAAGGTACGCACAGTCGGCACAGAAGGTACTTGACTAGCCGTCTGCGCATGGCATTCATGGTAACTACATATCGAACCATTATGACGGCGCGAAAGCATTCCTGCAAAAGCTAAACTCAGCGTTGGTATCTTGGACGCAAATCTTTTCAAAGTGCAAGTACTGCACATAGGTACATTCCTATCCCCACCATACTCCACCAATCGTTACCGGTGGCATTTCACCAAGCCCAGGACTGCACATGGCTGCACAGGACCCTACAATACACAATGGAACACGGGGTCGTTGGGCTCTTTTTTCTTTTCTTTTTTCTTTTTCTTTTTTTCAAAAACTGTGTCGAGCCATCGACTAGGGCCGGGTTTCTTTTTCCAGCAGTACCATAGTATACTGAACCAAAGTGTAGGTGATGCGTTGGGACATGAATCAGTCAAGCTTGCAACGAGGGTGGGCAAGGTTGTTTGTTTGATTGGCTGATGGGCCTCGGGACTTGTAATCTGATAAGCCCGGTAGGCTGGGGGGCGCTCGAGAGAGAGAGAGGAGGGGAAGGGATGGAAAGACAAACCAAGCCGCTACTCGTCAGGTCTTCAAAATCGACCGTCAGACTAGTGGGCGAGCCACTAGTCAGGGACATTGATTCGTACATGGACATTGATTCGTACCGCGCAAGTGACTTTCACTGGCTAGCAAAAGCCCTTGGCGCCAAGGTCCTCTACACCAAGCCAATTAGCTAGTCTTCCTGCATGTGTATATGGTTTAGCTGCATTCTATCCCTCCTAAATGAATGCCCAATGCTTACACACCATATACCATCTCGATATAAGGATCCGGTACGAATCAATGTCCATGTACGAATTAATGTCCCTGACTAGTGGCTCGCCCACTAGTCTGACGGTCGATTTTGAAGACCTGACGAGTAGCGGAGACGGACCCAGCGCGAACAATCCCCTCAGGCCTCAACCACTCCGTCAATTGCGGGGTTGCTTGACAGAGGCTGTAATTACTACACTAGTAGCTACACAGTACACAGTAGTGTAGACATCTGCTTGGCATTATAATGTCTGGTAGTGAAGTTGGGAATGGGGGCCCGATTGGGGATACGGGTAGATGTCGTTTGACGCGACTAGGTTCTTGATCGTTATGATCTACTTGATCGGATGCCTTCCTCTCAGTGCCTGGTTGAGGTTGCAATGCTCGATTGAAATTCGAGGTACCTCCTTAATGGAGGTATATGCTGGCTGAGTGAATCCCTGCGTATCATGGGAAAGAACTGTGAAGCTATCTGGCATCAACGTCTTGGGCCTGGGTGGATTAGTAGCAGCGATTTAAGGTACCTATGCCCTGCCGAGCCTGTCCAAACATTGTGCCGGAACGGCTCTGCGGGCGTCGGTTGAGCGTGTCTGTTAAGCTCGATGCGTGCCAAGCAGATTGTTTTTAACAATTTTTTTTTCCTTTTTTTTTTTTTTTTTTCCTTTTGGCTGCAAGGCCGTGCCGACTACGGGTCAAGATTTTGACAAAACCGACGCCTCATCCGTCAATCCTCCCCAAAATTCCCGTCCTTGCTTGAACCGCCACCACGGCAGACGCCCCTCCGCCCCCCCCTCCTCCGTTCCGCGCCCTCCGTTGCGACGACACCCACCGCCCGATACCGACGACAGTACTCTTGGCCGACACAATCGATTCCTTTGGTGTGAAGTTCGATTGATACACAGGCTTCGACCCGCGGTGTTGCGCAAAAAGGCTAGGGCCAGGTCCCAGACACGAGGAAATAGAGCAGCTGGCTACATTTATATCGCAGCCGCCGTTTGCATTGCGTCACCTCGCTGCTGCCCCTTTGAATTGAACCGCTCGGTGTCTGTGGAATACACCTGTATTGGTCCGCATCGCCCGTCGCCGACTCTTCCTCTCTACCCTGCCGTCTTTTCCAAGGACGGTCCCAGGAGCCCTTCAAGCTGGCTCTTAGCGCAGGAGCATCGGAGGCTGTGGCTTCCAAAATGACCCAGCCAAACGCTATCGATGAGGAGGATTACGAGTACGTGGCGGCGACTCATGAGACAATACAACGAACACCTCGGGGCCCGCTGACACCGCATCTACCTATCTATATAGCTATGAGTCGCTCCCGCCCAACTTCTCGCTCATCCAGAACATGGCCGCCGGCGCCTTTGCTGGCATCGCCGAGCACTGCGCCAGTATGTTCCCCTTGTAGCCGATGCGTTCCATCGGAACCATCTTCGATGGGCATTGAGCTAACTGATTCTCCCATAGTGTATCCCATCGATGCTGTTAAGGTGGGCGAACGGCCCCTTATCCGTCCACACGCGAGACCTCAACGAGTCACTGACTGGATTTCCTCAGACCCGTATGCAAATTGTGAACTCGAACCCTTCCGCGGTCTATCATGGCGTCATCCAGAGCACCTATCGAATTGCTTCGACCGAGGGCATCTTCAGCTTGTGGCGCGGCATGTCCAGCGTCATTGCCGGAGCCGGTTAGTTCGCCTCTCCGTCTCTCCGGATCTCGCGGCTACCAACTAATGTCAATCTGCTAGGCCCTGCGCACGCCGTTTACTTTGCGACTTACGAAGCGGTCAAGCACTTGATGGGCGGTAACAAGGTTGGCGAGCATCATTTTCTCGCTGCTGCCACTAGCGGTGCTTGCGCGACCATCGCCAGTGATGCCCTGATGAACCCCTTCGATGGTATGCCCACCCATATATGCCTATACACTCTGCGGACCCATACACGTGAAAGCGTAGTTCTAACGCAGTCGCAACACAGTGATCAAGCAGCGCATGCAGATCCAGAACTCCGCCAAGATGTACCGCTCCATGCTCGACTGCGCCAAGTATGTTTACCGGAACGAGGGTCTCGGGGCTTTCTACGTCTCGTACCCCACCACGCTGTCGATGACCGTCCCTTTCACCGCGCTTCAGTTCCTAGCCTATGAGTCGATATCAACCTCGATGAACCCCACCAAGAAGTACGACCCAGCGACACACTGCCTTGCTGGCGCCGTAGCTGGCGGCTTCGCAGCCGCGCTTACGACGCCTATGGATGTGATTAAGACCATGTTGCAGACCAGAGGCGCGGCTCAGGACGCTGAGGTCAGAGCCGTGAACGGCTTTGTGGCGGGGTGTAAGCTGCTGTACAGGAGAGAGGGTGTCAAAGGCTTCTTCAAGGGCTTGAAGCCCAGAGTGTTGACCACCATGCCGAGCACGGCCATCTGCTGGTCGGCATATGAGGCGTCTAAGTACGTTCACCCCGATTCTGCTACCAAAGTCTCAAAACTGTCCCAACATGCTTCTAACACATGGGATGTTCCAGGGCCTATTTCATTCACCAAAACAGCCAGTCATGAGATGCGGCTGACCTACGGAGCGGAAGCCATTTGACAAGGTGCGTGCAGCTGTCTGCAAAGCTTTCTTGTATTTCTTCTTATCCCGAGCATGTTGTCGCTGTATTTGTTAATGTTAACTCGCTCGCTGCAGCCAGGATCAGCAAAACTCGACATCCTCGGATATTCATGCACGGCGTTAGAGGATAAAAGAAAGACGCTGCCTCCATTCCAGCGTATGGAGCCAATCAGACGCGAGGTGGAGGAAGCCCAACACCACTCAAACTCGCTCACTTGCGGGGATTAAATGTTCATTCATTCGCCCTTGGCGTCCGTCTGACAACGGGCAAATGCCTGGGCGCGTTGGCCACGAGGGCGCACTGCGGAACGGGGTACTCAGAGGCTAGGACGGGCACAAGGTGTCCTTCACCCTAGCCAGGAACAATGGGGTTTTGCGCAATACCAAGCGACTACAAGGATACAAAGCAAAAACAAGGAACACCAAATCCAATTATGTACGTAATGTAACTTTGTTTCCTTGTCTTCTGTTGTTTTATACTCCTCGCACAAATTGTTCCCAAGGGTTCCTTTGTTCACCCACAAAGTCATGGGTTGTACCGAACCTGAGAGATGCAGGCTATCAGTGCGTTGTGCTTGGTGGCGTGATTGGTGAGGGAAAAGCAAAGCCCGGTGTGCTGCTAGTCTGTCCTTGGTCTTCAACAACCAGATTGCAGTTATGTATTGATGGCGAGGTAGTGTGGAATTACGGCGGCTGTGTGTAAAAATCAGTTTCTAGGTCTTCACGGGTGTTCATATCTTCTTACCGTTTATATACCACCTACGAGTTATGGCTTACGCTTGTATTGTATCACATCGGAGACAACCATGATTTGCATTTGGCCAGCTGTATCGTCGTCCATCTGCATCCTAATAACCACCTGCAACAAAATGAGGAAGATTCAGACATTGTGATGTCGCAAAATACCGAAAAGCCGGTCAGTTAATACTCAATGTTACGAACAATAATCACTGCGTCTTCTCTGCCCGTTCATTCGTTCGGTGATGCCTACGAATAGAAGCCTCAACTTAACTCACAAACTCCTGATTCAAAGCTTCCCAACCTTGAAGTTTCAAATGCGTCGCGCGCCTGACACCATAATCAAGAACAACATGGCATTCCACATGCTTTTGGTATCCACCCATGTACCCGATGAGCTGTCCCGCATTGTTTAGCCACCAAACGGAAACCCTCCGGGAAACCCGCCACTCCCGTACTGAAATCGGAATCCGCCTCCCGGTCCGCCCTGCTGAAACATGTACGGGTTACCACCTTGCCCGCCGAAGGGCTGTCCTCCCTGTTGTCCCTCGTGCGAATTTGGGTCGTCGCCTCTGTCGAACCGTGCCCGTAACTCGGGGTCGCTCAGTACCTCGTACGCCTCGTTGATCTGAGCCATCTTCTTCTCGGCCGCCTCCTTGGTCAAACCTTGCTTGGCTGCCTTGTCTGGGTGGTGAATCTTGGAAAGCTTGCGGTAGGCAGACTTGATCTGTCTCTCATCCGCATCGTGGGAGACGCCCAATACCTTATAGTAGTCCTTCGTCTTGGAGCGTTTGAGTGCAATCTGCGCCTTCTGAATGAGGGGGTTAATGACGTCTGATTTGGCAGGGTGTTCCTCTAGGGCCTTTTGAAGGGTAGCGATGGCGGCGTCGTACTCTTCTGCCGCGATCTGAACTTGCGATTGGTACAGGAGGGCATAGAGGGCAGTGGGATTGATAGCTAGCGACTCGACGCAGTAGGTGGAGGCTTTTTTGCTGTTTGACTGGTGAGAAGGAGCTGGTGTTAGCTACCTTGTTCCATACTGATGTTGACTTGGAGGGCCGCTTGAGAAGTCGACTTACTTCAAAGTATGCCTGACACGCTAGTTCTACTAGTTGTCCTACCAACACATTACCCGCGGACTTTGGAATCGTCCCGTCCGCCCGAAGCTTCTCAACTTGGCTCTTGACCTCCTGAATAAGGCCTTCCCCTTCTCGATTCGGGACCAGGTTCTTTACGGCCGTCATTGGTTGTTTCTTGTCCAACGCCTTGATCGCTTTCTGGACCAGCTTGTCCGTCATCTTCTCTTCCTTCAGCAATGCTGCGCATACCTTGCTGTCTGGATCCGAATGTAGACATTTCCTGATTGCTGCCAGCCCCCCTGGGAGATCGCCGAGGGCGTAGAAGGATATGGCCGAGATTTTGAGATGCGGGGTTGTGTCGCCAGGCTTCATCTGCAATATGTGTTGTAGGTCGCTCATGCCCATCTCCAAATCACCTCGCTCGAATAAACACTTGGAACGTAACTGGCGCAGCGCAACAGCCCGGTTCGCAACCATGATGGCGGCTCCGGCTTGCGTGACACATTCCTCCCAGTCCCCGCTGGCTGCTGCCTTCTCGGCAAGGCCGGCAGCAACAGCGGCATCCTCCAGCGCAACTAGTTCGTTCACTTTCTTTGCCTTCTCGTAGTGCTCCCTGGCGGCGTCCCAGTCGGCGCCGCGTGCCTTCAACTTGCCCAGCTGGATGTGGGCACCTTCGAAACCAGGTTTGAGCGCGAGCACTTTGTTGAAGTCATCGGTCGCTTGCGAGGTGCGGCCAAGCGAAAGGTAGGTGGTAGCACGCTTGAAGAAGGTCAGGTAGTTGGAGGGGTCGCGAGCAATGGCAGCATCATAGTAGACGAGCGCATCACTGGTCTCCCCTTTTGAGAGATGGCTTTGCGCCGAGGCGAGGAGGTTGGAAAGTGGCAGGTCGGAGGGTATATCGGCCGGAGAAAGGCCGTTCACAATGGAAGCGGCCGCAACGGCAAGGGCTGATAGCCGGATCAGCATCTTAGATGATGGGGAAGGCCGAAAGCCAGTCGTCCACTCAACTCGAGACGCAGGTGGCTTGTTTATCGAATCGTTATTAGGGTTGTAAAGACTAAATGACAGAAATGGCCACGATTAGGTTTGTGTTCAGGAGAAACTTAAGTTTAGAAGACCCAAGAGATTGATAGGGTGAAGAGTGAATGAAGGGCGATATGAGCTTCAACAAACTGGAGAATGGAGGTTGATGGAGCCAAGTTGTCCTTTGACAGATGACAGCGTTAGCGGCACGGCTAGCGCCCGGTATATGTACAGTCGTGACCCCTGAAACTGTATGTAATTCAGACCTGGAAATCCTATGCACTAAATGGCATATATGCAGTATCTGGACGCGGGGTTAGGCCAAAATAGCTAATCCAGACCTGGAAATCCTATGCACTAACTAGCATATATGCAGTATCTGGAGGATGCAGTTTCAGGGGTCACGACTGTAGTGGGTGTACGTACCTTACTACCACGCTAAGGGCATGCACGTGGCACTGAATGGTAGACGAGACTCCTGCCACCTTATTCGAGTGTCTACATGATTGTAGTGTATATTGGAAACCCCTGCAACTGCATCCCCCAGGAACCAGCAGTATAAACACACCGGTTAGTGCATAGGATTTAGCTGGCTGAACTAACTTCAGCTGCAACCATATAACTATATACTGCATACTGATCTCGGACGATTTCTTTGATATGTATGCACTGACGGGCTCGGTCCTAAGTAGTAATTTTTTTGGTAGAGTATCGCCATCTGGTGTATATAATGCCCTGGTCTGAATCACATGCAGCTTCAGGATATTCTACTGTGCACTAGTAAGTATTATACTCATTATTCTATAGTCCAGGTACTTCCTCATCCGGTACCCCTGTCCCTGACGCTTTCATGTATCAATGCGAGGGTGCAAGCCAGGCGATTCCTTTCTGGCCGCATATGTTCACACTCGCTACCACTTCTAGGCATTGTCTACTATCTGAAGCTAACCACCCGTGTACATCAAATAAGGTATCTCACAACATGTACACCGCGGCCATGTCTTTTCGAGGTAGAATAGCTGTGCAGACGACTTGCATCTCTCAAGAAGTCCTGGCCCAAGGTGGAAAAGATGCCCTCAAGTTGCTTGGAACCAGAACGCATCGTTTTGACGAGCCTTCAAAGTTGACTCTCAACCACCAACTATCACAGTCATTTCCGAAAACCTGGCGGCGACGTGTTCCACAAGGTGTCACCGACCTTGCTTCATCGACCATCGATTGGGGTGCTTCTTCGGCCTGTTCGGACTATACAAACTATTTGGAACTGTTGTCCAGAAGTGGATCGCCCGTTCTATGTGTTATACAGTTCACCCCTGATTCGCTCGTTAGCGTGGTACTTGCAGAGGACTTTGCTTTCTTTCTTTCTTTCTTTCTTTCTTTCTTTTTTTTTTTTCCTTTTTTTTTTTTTTTTTTTTTCCCCTCGCTTTCAGGATAACTAGGCGGGACTGCTGGCGAAGATAGCATCCAGTTGGCTATTGCTCGCTGTGAAGCGATCGCCTATCGTTCTCGATCTTAACTTTGTTTGGAATAAAGGGGTTTCCAAAATCCCTTGTCTTCTTTCTTGTTCGAGGAGGTCGCAATCTCGGTCTAACGAACAAGCAAGCATAGATATGTATTATCAAATCACGTCGCCGTACACACACGCCTGCCTAGGTACATAGTAACCTTGAGTTCTTATAACAACGACCTGAAAACCACGTTGGGAGCAACACAAAGAGAAACTGCCAGCATGTTTGAAGGGAGAGCCGGTGATTATGAGCGGCATCGAAAGATCCAAATGCACACTTTGACACTAGGCTCCAAGCTACCCATAGACGGAAGATTAGAAGAGCATCCCCATAAAACGGCCAAAACATGTATTCTCCGAGACTCGAAGATCATATCACCCCCGGATCCCCCACCTGTCCTCCTTGCCATCCATACCGCCACTATCACCCCCACAACCACCTTGACAGCAACTAGGAGAGTATCCTATACACAAGAAAGCCGTGGAATCACAGTGTTCCTATGCGCAAAAAGAACGAAACAAAAGGAAAAGCGAAGACGAAGCCACTGACGACTACCAACCACAATTGCTTTATGTCGACGTTGAATCTAATGTGTCCTAGAAGCCGCCCAAGCATGCTCGAGCTGGTCGATTGATAAACAACTGGGATCAACGGAAGACGTATAGGCAAGCTGAGACTACGAAGAGCTCTTCGGATATTCACCAGGAATATGAAGGTGGGATATGGTTGGAACGCTGTCATTGCGCATTCCTCCGATAGTTGGGCGTGTTCGATCCTGGAAAACGTCACCACCACTGTTACTGTCCATCTGCCCGACCATAACTGTTCTTGGCATTGTATGGCTGGGATGTTGAGCACTCGCAGATGCGATATCGTTGTGCATGCCACTCTTATCCCCCAGTGGGGACACTGCTTGTAGGGCACCCATGGAGGCTGGGATATCTCTGATACCAAAAGCTACCCCTCGCTGGCCGTGACGAACGTTTTGCTCGTCCGCATCGTGGTCCTGTCTAGCAAGTAATGTCATATCGGGACTGATTCGGCAATCATCAGTCTGTTCGCCATATTCCCGGAGAATGACACCATCGCCTTGGTTTCCAACAGTATAATGCATCGACAGGGGTTGGCCGTCAATTTCGTTGTGTACGCCATGAACTTGATTCCGGTTTGGGTTGGCATAAGTGTAATCGCCCTGATGTACTGTAAGAGTGGGCCCCTCGCAATTCGGTGGAGTTGGTTTCCGTGTTCTATCGTGTTGCTCTATGGCGCTGTCTGGCAATGTGGTGGTAGCCGCGGTGGCATCGACAATGCCATTCTCGTCGTTTCCGGAACTCACACTAAGCGGGGAAACGGGAACCTGTAAGCGTCTTTGTGCATTTACCTGGAGATCAGATGGGAATCGCCCACCTGAAGGACGTCGCGGCAGAGCGTCTTGCCTCGGCGGCTGGTTGACATATGCCACGTTTGCAGAAAAGGGAGGCTCCTCGTCGTCATTGACTCCATCGCTACTAATGGAAGACCGCTGAGAGGACCTGCTGTAGCTTCTTCCATGGCCGCGAAGGAAATTGGTGCGTTCTTCCGGGGTCCGCTCAGTAAGCATTTTGATGTCCTCATACCATGCCATCATCGTATCATGGCTTTCGGCGCGGAATACCCACGTATGGCCACGGTGCATTGTTCCGGTTTGGCGTCCTTTAAGGATGAACTTGTTGGACGAACTGCCCTCGGTAGAATGAGACCCAAGCTTTTGCTCCGGAAGGTACAGCGACATGACCGGCCCTTGTCCCTTATCGGCAGACTTGAACTCGTGTAGGTGGGTAGGCGAGAGTACGTACCTGCTATTGTTAGTAAGAGAACAGAATATGCACTGCCGGGAAGAACCTTCTTTTAATGGCTCGGATACTTACCATCCTGCCGAATAGCTTTTCAAATATTTGCTTTTGCGCTCCAAAAGACCCGCTCGGATTTCCTGACAAGCGTGATGGTCACGGCCGGGATAGTGAATGAACTCAGCCGATCGCATGGGCACGTCCGGATCCACGAACTGATCATCTTTTCGAATGAAGGAGTTCCATTCGGTATCCTTGGGCATGGAAACTGGGCCAATTCGAAGCTCTTCAATAGCACTGTAAGCAACATCCGACTCTCTCTTGAGAATACCAGCATAAGCGTTGTAAGATTTTTGTATCTCGCCAACGACAATGGACTCGAGCTCCCGTCCCGAATTCTCAAGGTTCAGGTAAGCCTTTGGGTACGGCAGTTAGCTGTGAACAGGACTCTCCCAACGAGCCACATGGTGAAAAGTGCGTACCTGATGCAGATAGTTTTCCTCGTCAATTTGCCTTTCCAGCTGGCGATCCACTGCTAGTCGTAACAGATATGGATCTTCTTTGCCTGTTGTAAGAGCTGGGTCGAGTTCGGTCTTGCCAAGAACTTCCTGAAGACTATTCACAGCTCTTCGAGTGGCCTCCATTTCCTTGTCAACGGAGTTTTTGAAATCGCCAGAGAGATTTTTGATTTCCTTGATCTTCTGATGTAGGTCACTCCGTAAACCCGTGAGTGCTAGGATAACATCCTCTTCAATCTCGCGTGCTTTATTGGACTCGGCAATGGCTTGCTTGTTGTAATTTCGCAGAACCTGGAGGGCATCGTCTAGCCCACCATCTGAAAGAAATCCTGGGGGAGTCGACGTATTATTCAGTACATTCCCCAACCTAATGAGCGATTTGGAACGGTGCTCATAGTGTGTCTGGATCTCCTTGAAAAAGACAATAAGGTCTTTGAGAATTTTTCGCCATGCTAAGAAATAAAAACATGAAGGTTAGGCGCGGACTCTGTTAGCAGACAAGTATGAACTCATACCTTGAAAACGGTTGGCAAGGACGTCGGTGGGACTGCCTGCCGTCGGAACCGGGCAGTAAAAAGCACTGTTCATTCCTTCTTGGTCGGAGTTCTGTTGAAGTGCCAAACTCCGAACACTCCCCGCTTTCATGCTGCGACGGCTGCCGCTCCGTTTGAGGCTCCCACTACGTCTAAGAGACGCTTTTTTCTTGAGAGTGTTGCTGCGGGACATGGAAGCGGTCCCATCCCCGTTAAGGCCATTCACAGAACCGACGTACGAGTTCGTTCGGTACATGGTGCTGTGAGGTCGCGTGCCGTCGACGATCGAGCTTCCTCGTCGACCGGCATCCCACTCCTCGTTGAATCTGGCTGAGTGAGGAGCAGTGGCCATGTGTTCATGATCAGATTGCATCAGGTGAGTATTGGCCAGGGTGTTTGACGCGGTCTCGGCATCAGGGCCACCGGAATAGTACTGTGGTTGTTGTGGTGGTGGGTGCTGCTGCTGCTGCTGCTGCTGCTGCTGCTGCTGCTGTTCATGGATAATTTGCTGCTGGTCGGGAAAGTAGCTGTGTCCGCGATCAAAGTTCATGTTGGGGGAGGGGGCCCCGACTGGAGATCTAGCGGTCATCATGGTGAGTGTCGGCGCGCGCCGCAGGACACCTCACCCAGTACTGGGACAAGGACAGAGAGTAGGCTCGGGAGTTGGGGAAGTAGAGCGGCTGGTTGGGTCGTGGTAGCGATAGCGGGAATGGTCGACTAGGATATCTAGTCGGCAGACCTTGGGCTGTACGAGAGGACGAGAAGACGGATAGGCAATAGGTTTTGGAGAAGGGCAGCGTAAATGAGAGCCTGGATGGATGCGCGCGGGTGTTGAGGATGGCAACCTGGATATGCTTGGATGATGAGGCTGGAACCAGACCAGTAGACAAACCGAGTCGGACGATCCAGGACTGGAAATTGAAAATAAGATATTGCTACCGCTACCTAGGTCTGGGGTTGTGACTGGACGGGAAGACAATGACGGCGCATCCGAGACTAGAGGTAGTAGGAAATGTGGGCGCGTGGAAGGTGCTCGTGGTAGAGGTAGCGAGGCGGTTTAGAACTAGAGGAAGAAGGCGAGCAGGGAAAGTGGTAATGTTGATTTGGTGCCTTGGGCCGTCTGGGAGACAGGAATGATGTCGTCGTCACCGGGGGCAGGGCAGCAACAAAGAACGCTGGGCAGGGTCTGGGCTAATTGTGCTGCTGTAGCGTGCGCTATTCCGGGCATATGATGGAGCTGTTGATCGCCCCCCGCAAATTACGGACCGGGGCCTCGACGGAGGTTCAGTTGCAGCTTCAGATGAAGTGACCCCACCCAATGGCACACTACAGTTCCTAGACAGGTCGCGCTTAAGCTTACCTATTGTTTGACCCTTTTCTTGGTGGATGTGGTTCTCGTTCTTCTCTCTGGAGTCAGTCTGGGATTCCTCAAGCAATGAAGGTCAGTCCTAGAAGTACTCTGTGAAACGTAATCTTGGCTTGGCACTCAGATAAGCCTAGTGTAGTGTAGGTGACATCGGTAGCTGAGCAGAAAGAGACGTCCGGCTAAAACGAGCGAGCCCGTTCAGTACGAGACGGGAGCTGGTGGTTCCAAATTACAGGTTTTAGTTGTCATATCACAAGACCTTGCATAGACACGACGGCCAGAGCAGCCCATGGTTGACCCATTACATCATCAAGAGCGAACACCACGTCGAGCTATCTTGAGCCAGGTGAGCCTGGCCACAACAGGCACTGTCCTACTGTACGAAGTTTTAACAGGTAGAGGTAACCTGGGCAGGTAATCTGCCGTGAACTACCCGCAACCAGGCGCTTCACATAACCCGTGGTCTTGCTGTTTCGATCGAGGTCCAAGACGATTTCCAGGTTTGCCAAATTGGGCAATCTCACTGCAAATCAAGTGCACGTTGAATCGCAAAGGTGGCCGTTCTTTGTGCCACCAACTACTAAGTATCCGCCCGGCGGGTGACGTATTGCGGCCTTGGTTTTGCATCGTCCGCCCAACGAAGAATATCTCCCAAACCTCATCAAAACCTCAAGGTACTGGATTTGATCATTGTCTGGGAATGGCAGGTCAAACTACGACCAATTGCGTCAGTGGGAACAAACTGAGCAGGTGCTGAAATGCCAAGCCACGCAGTTTGATCACCGTACAACTTGAAGGCATCTCACGTGTGAAGGCTAAGCAGGTACTAGTCGAACACAATAGATGCAAGGTTGTTTTTTCTTATTCGCATATTAGTACAAACCGTTCCCCAACATCAGTCCTTGAAAGTTTCATTGTTAGGTAGTCTCCTACGCACCCCACATCCTCTTATAAAGGGGCAATACAGTAATGTTCCCTACCTATTATTGCAACACAATTCCTACAGCAATTTTTATTGCAATAAGTAGGGTATTTGCAAAATAGGGGGCCAGTGCATAGACCAGTAGCAGGCATTCGAGATACTAGAAAATGCTGAAGGGCTGGAAAAGTAGGTTGCCGAGCCCTGATATGGAGGTATAAGTGTTCACTTCCCCAAAATTTGACCTTTGTTAATGCAAAAACTCGACTATTATTATTGTAATTAGCAGTTAGCAGTCCTAGTATGGGTTAGTAACTCTTGCACTCAACTGGCTATGCAATAAGTAGGGTGCTAGTATTAGAAAAAAGAGGGGGTTGCAAAAGGAGGGACATTACTTAAGGATAGTTGCAAGGCAGGACACGACTATTTACACGATCTAATAGGCTGAAACTGCCTACTTTCAAGGAGAGAAAGAGCTAGCAAAAGAGATCTCAACACCCGCACACAACAAAAACATATTGTACAAGCTCAAAACCACCAGAATCACTCAAAGCCTCCCCTACCTTCCCCACTGTCTAATACCCTCGTTTGAGTACCACGCTAACGAACTTACCACGACTGATGTGTACGGTAGGTAGATGCAAGAGTCGTCCTTGTGCGTGATCTGTGTAGACACCAAGTCCAATGCAGGGACGCCGTTCAAAGCTCCGGATCTCATAAACGTGGACTCCAGAGCATAATGTCATCGGCAACTTGACAAGACACCAACGAGACTGTATGGCTTTAAATGACTATTGGGGACCATGAATGACCTAAGAGGAGGAATGAAAAGAATAAGAGTAATTGGAGGAATCATGCAACTCGTCTTAGTGTTCAAGGCAATGACATGGTCTTGGTAGTCTGGCCCGGCTGCAGTCATTGTTAATTTGTCCTGGACAAATTCAGTCTCACTTGTGACTCCAGTAGCTGCGCAAAATTCCACCGAGCTTATCGTGGTGTTGTCAAGGATCTGCTGTCCTGGACTCCCGGTAGGGCTCATAATCGCGAGACGGCCCGCAGCCCTACCTACCTAGTGTGCATGTCCACTTCCATGTGTAGCGGCGCCCAGCCGAGCTTCTAAGATCGGGGTTGAGAGAGCAGAATGATACGTAGATCTTCCGGTTCGCATAGCTTGCATGTAAAAGTGCAGTACGCCGCCCATGTAAGCCGCCCTTCCCTTCTGCTTCTGTGGTCGGTCCCGGGTCTCACGAAGCCGAAGCTTGACACTTTGCAGCCGTCTCAGCGGTGCTTATTACGGGCCGTGTTTCTTGGAAGGCCGTACGCAGAAGTAGCGTACAAATAGGTAGCGCTCCCTGACCCTATGATGTTAAATGGTCCCTTGCGATGCCGATTGATGGCAGCTGGACCAGGGTGCTTCTCCAGAATCAACCCCGACGTCGGCCGAGGAGTACCTACCTTAGGTAAGGTACCTTACCTATCCCTAATCCCCGCCATATCCAGGCAGAGCAATTGGGAAGGCGCGCTGTACGCTTAGTAAGAAAGCTATAAGAACTTGGAATTTTGGGGCTTCTGGTAGCTACCTACCTAGATAGTACCTAGCTTTTTTCCTAATCAACCGCCACCTGATTCCCAAAAGAACCCCTTATCCTGCACGAAGCAATTCACAATCCCGAACGTCGGGCCTTCCCCTGCGTACCCGTGCCTCGCCCCCACTTTTCCTGGATCTCGCCAGCTCTCCGCCAGCACGCTCCATTGGGCGTTTGCTCGTGCACAATGGCCGGGCTTGTCGGCTATTGGCTGGCGTGTTGCAGAGAGACAAGATGCTAAAACAAGATCCATAAATCCCACGGATGAACGATATAGTTCAAGATTGTGCAGTCCATTTGAAAGAATTATCAGCCCGTAAGTTTCCATGTTACTTCAGTAGGTACTGTGTGACATATGTGTAGTATGGAAATCAACCTAGAAGAGCCACAGACATAGTCGGACACAAGGCATTGGGTAGGGCGTGAGAGATGTGTTGTTTTGTGCAATATGTGCAATTATCTTGTCCCTTCGCGTCACTGGTGGTTGCGAACGTGGGCGCAGGATATTGAAACGACCATCTGTCTGGAACCCTGAAGTGCAACGCCTTACTCGGATTCCTGAGGGTCACCGCCGACCATCAGGGGCGGATAAACGGACTGTGACTCTATTCCAACCCGCCTGTGTGGGGCCAAGGTCTCCACGTATAAATCACCTGCCAGCAACCCAGATTATAAAAAAGGTGATTTTGAGCTCTCGTTGTCGTTGTTGCAAACGATGCTTTCTCGTGAGGACTGATGGTTCCCGGCGCGCGATATTAATGCCAAGCTTGGGGTAGGGGCTAACTGCTCTCAGTTCGTATGGCCCCACACAGTCGGTTTATCCAGGTCGTGTTATCGGGCTTCGTGAACATATAAAAGGGCACGTGCGCCCGCGCACCCGCGCTCTGGGCTCTCGTCTCGTTCTTCCTTCAACTTTTCCGCTTCAATCTTGCCATCAAGGGTCCATTTGGTTTTCCAACGTTGTCTTTGCTCCGTGCTCCCCTGCCACCATGTCGTCCGGATCATCTTCCCCAGAACACCCCCGTGCTGGCAAGCGGCCTCGTAAGTACCCTCCTCGACCTCTTAATCTCTTCTATGTCAGATAATCATTTTGGTTGGGCCCTGAATGCGAGGTGTTGCGACGCTCGAGGTATAAGTTTTTCGGAGGTTTGAGGGGCGGGCTTGAGTGTTCCCAAGCTGTATTGCTGCGTTGCGTCCCGGTTCCGTTGTTGCCAAGCATCATAGCGCATGCGCAGTGCAGAGGACCAAAAAAATCAAACAAAAAAATCGACGGGAACACCATGACGGGAATTACGCCGCAAAGACGTACTACTGTACACGGAAAGAGGGGCCCGGGAAGCCTGGAACTTCGGTACCCCACTCTCTTTTGACTGATCGCCAATGGTGGCCAATGCCATTTCGTTTTTTTCGCTCGAAAACTCGAAAGGCCGTCTCGTCTCCATTCTTGCGTTCTCTTGGCTACACATCATCCATCGTCCCGTCCCTAGCACCATTACGACGACCATATCAGCAACTATCATCAAACCTACTGTTTCTACCAGCGCCGTCGCCCTGCCACTCCTCCTCTACCTGCCGTTGCCCCCGGACATTTGGTTATCCGATTATTGAGTGAGCTTCAGGTTTTCAACATGTCTAACCACGACGTGACCATGGCAGGCACCCAGTCGCTCCCTCCTCCGGCACTGCCCCAACTCGTCGCTGAGCAGCACATGCCCATCCCACCTACCGACAAGGGTACTAAGAGGCTCATCGTAGTACTCTCCAACGCCAGCCTCGAGACCTACAAGGCGTCCCACGGCGGCTCTGGCCGCATGGGCATGCAGCGAGAGGAAAAATACTCGCTCCTCAATAGCGATGAGCACATTGGTGTCATGCGCAAGATGAACAGAGATATCAGTGACGCTCGCCCCGACATTACTCACCAGGTTGGAAACACTCCCAGTCTGCATTCAACATGCGGATACTGCTACTGACACTCGCCATTTTTGTTCTCTAGTGCCTCCTCACGCTTCTCGACTCGCCCGTCAACAAGGCCGGAAGGCTGCAGATCTATATCCAGACCGCCAAAGGGGTCTTGATCGAGGTCTCGCCTGCTGTCCGTATACCCCGCACTTTCAAGCGCTTCGCTGGTCTCATGGTCCAGCTTCTCCATCGTCTGTCCATCAAGGGAACCAACTCACAGGAAAAGCTCTTGAAGGTGATTCAGAACCCTATTACGGACCACCTGCCTCCCAACTGCCGCAAGATTACGCTCAGCTTCGACGCCCCCGTTGTGCGCGTCCGCGAGTACATCGACACTTTGGGCGAGAATGAGAGCATTTGCGTCTTTGTAGGCGCCATGGCGAAGGGTGCCGATAACTTTGCGGACGAGTATGTCGATGAGAAGATTTCCATCAGCAATTATAGCTTGTCAGCCAGCGTAGCGTGCAGCAAGTTCTGTCACGCCGCTGAGGATGCGTGGGACATCATCTAATCGACAACCAAACCGTGGTGGGAAATATCGAGGGATGGGTGAAAGGTCTGTTTGCCTTTCTCACGCGTAAGAGAGGCTGCGGGGGCTTTGGCCAGCTTCGTGATACAACATCGCGATTTTGCGGGCCAGAGCTTCCGGAACTTGGGTCGCCTGTGATTGCGCTGTCGCTGTTTTTGCAACCAAAACATGGGGCGTTCAACAACGGACTCAAGACGCTTTCATCGTCTACGCAAGACCATTCAACCTGGCTTGCCTTCCCTCCTCTCCTTTCGTCATATACTCTTCTTCACCTCTTCCTGGCTCTTTCATACGTCCATTCTTAGCTAGTCAATAATATCTTGTTGCGGATACTAAGTTCTCGGGTCAAGTGAAACGCAATTTTTTGTCGAGCGAACGCTTAGTTGCCATGCGCCATATCAACTCAGACATTGCCATGACGGAAAGAAGGGCAAGTAGCGACTTGCCCAGTTAGTATCAGTGGTAGAGAATGGGAAGTGACGCACTGGAACCATGTTTTGTCATCCTTCTTTTTTCCTTACACGACATCAGCACTACTACCTAGTAGCCATCTACTATCAGGTCAGTGTTTTCGTGGGTCGCTCGTTTTTCGGACTGCGACGCCTCCCTACCCTCCTCTCCTTCCCAACGCCTTTCTTCTCCCAAATTCAGCATTTGCAAAACAATGTGTCTCCCTTGCTGCGTAAGCTCGTTTGATTTCATTTTCACGTGCCTGTATCTCTTTCCATGGCCATTTGAAAGCCTGACGAATAGTGCCGTGTACTCGCAATGTACAAGAAGCGTACAGGCCTTGATGTATCTCACATAGCAGTCTTCATTCGGCCAATAAACCGCGGAAAGTAACACCCTGGGCATTGGCATTTGGCCACTGGGTCTTCAGACCGATTGGATCATGGGCTGCAGGACCATATCACCTGTGGATAGGAAATGATTATCCCAGTTGCCGTCAGCCTGGTATTTACTCCCGAGACTGTTCATATGAACGCGCACTGGAGCACTCCCCGCCTTTGCTGTGCCTTGCAAATTTGTGAATTGGATCTTTTGGTTTTGAATGATCTACAATGCTTGTGCGCCAGGAACACACAACCCAGTGGTAGCAGGAAAGATGTATAAAATGTAGTGTTGCTATCACTTTCTTCGAAAAAAAAAAAAAAAAAAAAAAAAAAACTATAATTTAAAATTGAAATTGTATAATAATTTGATATTATTCTATCAAGAAAACCCAAAAACTTTTTGTAAGACTTAAGACCGAGCACGTCGTTCGGTTTCCGGTGTAGTTGAGTTTGGGTGTTGGGACATTTTTTTTTTTTTTTTGCATCGTTTGACATGCTAATCTTACACTCACCACGGTACGCTCACCACAAAACGGCCAGGCTGATTCGGGTACGAGAAGCCTTACATTACACTACATACAAGCCTTCGACTTGGGCACCCCGGCACCCAGGCACCGAAGCGTTTACCGCAACCGTGGCGATGCATACCAGACCATAAGGATGGCTTGTCAGGCGGCGGCACAGTCGTGACCGTCAGTGAGCGGCAACGGCCAGCAGTTGTACACGGAAAATCCTGCAGTGCGAGTGCAAATCAGTTCCCATCAGATCATCAAAGGGGAGAAGCTGGAAAAAGTAGGAATGTTCTTGCAAGGTTGCATTTGCCTAAAAGGGCGGAGATGGGTTTTCGCCAATGGAGATTCTCCCGCCCTCGATCGCCAGTCAGCCAAGTCAGGCCGGATGGCCGGGTCGCGTTAGGTTCGCTGTCTTGCCTCCCATCACCACCAACCACAGGACTGCATACTTTGGCAGTTCGGGATGCTCTTTTCCACTATACGCTGCAGTGACTTGATATCTCCACGGATGAGCCCGAAAATAGGCGCCTGGGACCCACAATTACCATGAAACTGCCATTACCGCCTCATGAGAGGGGAGTTGAAGCGCATCAGCCCCAAAGAGGATATGCCTTTCCACTTACCTACGCTTGCGACCTGCTCTGCCACTCTTCCTCCTACTTACTACCAACATGACTAACTGCTGAACATACGTGGACGAATCCAACCGCTATCCGACCGTCAAGTCATTTCGCCAAGCAGCAATTGCTATCTGGCCGCCCTTCTGCCCACCACTGGACGTCGCTTATCCCGCCCTACACCATCTGTTTATGACAAAACCCGGACCGGTGAGAAGGGTCTCTGCTTCACAAGTCACTTCCTCCCACACGTCTTCGATCTCCTCGCTTTTTCCATAACGTACCCTTGCGGCGGTACTTGAGAGTACAACTAGACCTAACCACCACGGATACGCCTCACAGCCCCTGGCCTAAAGTGCTTGGATTCGTGAGCCGTGAGCGGCAGCACATCCCTCCCTGTCTTGATCGCCTACTCGCGCCGCGGTATTCCAGCGGTGCCTCAACGGTGCTTTGAGGGTTCCTGTTAGCTCAGCGACCTTCGATACCTCGGACCCTCAAAAGATTGCCACATATTGACTTCATCTTCAACACCGGGGCTGTACATCAAATTGAGGGGTGGGCATCGATCAGCAGTTTTCAGACGTTTGGGAGCTGCACGCCTTCGCTCATTCCGTGGGTGGCCAAATTTTCAAAAACACATCAGTCAAGATGCTTCCCTTCCTCGAAGTCTCTCATCTCTCATTCTCCGCACCCTTTTACGCGGCCATCATAAAGAATATTGGCCTGAGATATCTGAGTGAGGAGGACGGACCCCTACCATCCATCACCTACGGCCATCCGTCACGCGACAAACCTGTATTTCAGATTCGTGAAGTTGACCCGCATCGGGCCTTGAGACTCTCACATATTTCCCTTTCTGCCCCTTCTGCGGTCGCAGCCGACGAAGCTTTTAGTTGCGCGCGCCGAGCTTCACCAGACGCCAGTGAAAAACCACTGCGGCACCCTGCTGATTCCCGATCAGCTGCTACAACCCCCAAGGCCCATAGGAGTGTAACTCGAGCTGGCGACCTCAAAATCAACGTCACTGACCCTGACGGCAACACCATGGAGATCGTATATCAGCCTTTCGAAAACTACCCGTCCCATCACGGTGGCACAGCTACACGGTACCAGCAGTCAGCCGATGAAGAACCAAGTCGAGTCCTCCTGTGGAAATACGATACAAGAGGTTTAGAGCAGCGCCCAGGTGCAGCGTCGAATCCATCATACCCGGGATCAAACCTTCCTTCGTGTCACCGGCGTTCGGCTGAGGTTGAAGACGATGATCGACATGCTTCCAGGTGGGGTCACGTGACGAGGACGGCCTCTTATGCTCCCACTCTCCCAACCAGGCACAACTCCGGAGGCATTAGTCCAAGTACGGTTGTGAGTACCATTTTGGGCGCCGCAGCCGCCGGTGCGGTGGGAGGTGCTTTGTACAGCATATCCAAGGCTGAACGCTCTCGCTCGTCGCGTGATGATCATGAGCCGCCATCGTTTTCACGCCGCTGTAGCCATCAGGAGGGGCATGTAGAAAAGTACTCTGGAAAACTTTTGGAGCCTAGGACACGTTATGTGGAAGTGGACCGGGCAGTGGACAAGGTTCGCTTACCTGATGAGCATCTACATACCTCTGGCAGTGCTTCCCGGGCAGGACCGCGGCCGGAGTACATTACTAGATACAGCAGTTATGCGGGCACTTCGCGAAGCAGAGATGTGGACGACGGCTTTGGAGATGGCTTGGAGGACGTTCGAGGCCGTCATATGACCCCGCGGTCTCGCGGCTCTCCTCGGGACCGCAGCGAGGCGGAATACGGACGACCTCCCGTGGGTATCTCATCGGATCACCACCACCTTCAAAGCTCAAGAGGCGCAAAACACCCGCCAATGGTGCAGCGAAGCTACACTTACGACACGAGTACGCCAGAACGGGATGGCTATGCGTCAACAAAGAGTCATCGATCATCAAGTATCATCCGCGGTTCTCCGGTTGAAGAGGCCTACACAGTCAGACGCTCCAAGTCAGGCACGCGCATGAAGACGACCACTGTCAAAGTCAGTGGCAGTCCATTGGGAAGGTCTGGCGCTTATGGTTCGAGCCGTGATGGGGGTTTGCCTAGAAATGCTTCGGGTAGCTTGAGCGAGCTCGTCACCCCTCCTGAGATTCTGCTACCGCCCGACACCCCGGGTGTTCAATCCACAAAGTGGGACAATGAGGTAGAGGACCAAGAAGACGCCGATAGTATCGTACCCAGCGACAGCATCAGCTGCGTGGGGACTCGCAGGAGCGGTCGCGCATACTACAATTAAGCCGCGTGCCAGCAGGTGGGTTCACAATGGACAACCTAAGCATAGAAGAATGTCATAAGAGTCGACTTGCGCCGCTTAGGGAGCATATCCTGAAAATAAATAAAAAAAGCTTCTGTGTTCATCTTGTATCGGTCATCTTCTGCGGCCCTACGTCTATGGATGCCCAAGATGTGGGCATGTGAGATAATGGTATGGCGATAGGCAGACCATGGCCAGTCATGCTCGTAATGGACAATAGGGCGGGCGAACCAGCACTGCGACAAATCGTAGGGAACAATCCGTGATATGTAAAACATAGAAAGGCTATTACCATTGTCCAGAAACGAGTTGGCTAGAATATTACATGTATTTCCAGTCCTGCTCGATGTACCTTTGTTTCATCATGGGAGCGCCTCGCGTTTGACGGGCGGTTGGAGGTCGGCTGGTCGGCAGGCAACGGCCGGCAGGGGCAGAACAGAAAGATACTCCCTCATCTTCTTTGCACCTTCCGTCACCGATCTACGGCGTCAATGTGTAGGTCACAGTAGGCGTTCGGGCGGGGCGTGGACCCATCTTCCATGGGGTGGAGACTGTGGGGATTCCGTCATGTCGGTTTCGCGCCGCGGCCCGGGTACGTAAGTACCTACATTGACCTTGTAGGCGGAGGGTATGAACGTATGCTGCATAATATAACAATGCAGCGTTATGAACAATAAGAATCTCCTGCAGAGCAAGGTGTATCCGGTAGAGAAGGGGAGACTTGCGAAATGTAGTTTAGGGCGTGAGAAGGACCAGTCTATCAACGAAACGTCAAATGCGACCGTCTCTGCCAGAAATATTCTTCACATGATTTACACAGTACTGGCAGTAGGGAGAGTACATACTAAGAACGATCGTCACCGCTAGCTTAGATCTAACTCCGTGATTGATTGGATACGACAACAAGTACAGATACTTGAAAGCCTCCGATACTCGGCATCGACGAGTCACTCCTTAGCGACCAAATTCCATCTCAGATCTCGCTCACTTGGCTCACTTGGTTGCTCACTCGACATCTCCCTTTACTCATTCCCTTGCTCAGAACTAATAGGGAGGTAGAGATAAGTTAGGTCAAATTATCAAGGACACACCTAGTTTAATGTTAGCCATGTTCTTGGGGCTTGCCCTTGCCTCACTATCTTAAGCGGTAATTGTGACCCAGCTAACGGAAAGACAGCATCTATTAGGCCAGGAACCAATAGGGAAGGTCCTCACATCAGCGCGAAGCAAAAGTATAACATTCACGCAGCATCACCACTCATCTAACTACTTATCCGCACTCATCTGGCACTCAGTTACGTACACCATGCCTCCCTTCGAGCTTGGGGACTCTATACCCTCGGAGACCGCTCATGTATGCACCCATTCCCCAGCACATACAGTTACCACCATTACAATACCTCGTTCTGACCTCAAGTTGCTGTCTCTAGGCCGTGAGCGTCTCACTCCCAACCTGGAGTGCCAATGTTGGCTATGAGGAGGGCCAGGATTGGGTGGTTAAACGCATGGCAACGGGGTATCCTCGGTATGTGGGCGCCTGTCCTCCAGACATCATGATCACTACAGTCGGAGTATCTCGATCAGCACTACAGTTGTACTGACCGACCTGTGTCAGCTTCTTCATCCATCGGACCATTCAGGCCTTTGCTGCTGACATTGTGGCCACGCATGTCAGTACCAAGGCCAAGCGAACTAGTGATATCACAGCCATGCTTTTCCCGACGCCGACCATTGCCTCTCGCTGCGTTGATTTCATCCGCTCGCGGGCACCTGTTGATGTCTGCAGCAACATTGAGGTCGTCAACCTCGTTCTTGATATGTCGGATCCCGAGGCGCGTGCCCTGGAGCCCCTTTGTCCATCCATCTCTGCTGTCATCATGCCACAGGACGGCTTTCCATTCGCAAAGCAGTACTGGCAGCATAGTGGAGATGGCGTTTCTAGCCGTCGGGCTGAGTTCTGCCACGGTTTGTTCAAAGACGGCTTGCTGCGTCCTGATATCGAACTCCGTAATGCGGCTGTCTCTGCAGCAAAGCCGTGTCGCGGTCCCAAGCGCTATCAGCGGCAGGCTTCGCTTGACGCTGGAGGAAACCAACAAACGATAATGCACGGCCATGTCCACAGGGCTACCGGAGAGACTGCGATGATCCAAGAAACTTCCCGTTTTCTAGAAGAGCGTTTCGGCAGAAACCTCGACCTCTCCTTTGTCCATCCCGCCAAGTCCGCCATCAAGAGACGAATTGCCGGAGCACTGCGGAGTGCCGACCATGACCTTGGAGGTTCCCCTTCGCTATCAGAAAAGCAGATGAGTTCCAACACCCGCGGCATCGCCAATCTTCGCGAGGAAGATATCTATCTCTTCCCATGCGGAATGAACGCCATTTTTCATGCCCACAGAGCGCTGTATTCCATTCGAACCCCGCCGGGCAGCACGCCGCTAAAGAGCGTCAACTTTGGCTTCCCTTACGTCGATACGCTCAAGATTCTGGAGAAGTTCAACCCTTCTGGTGCGTTATTCTACGGCCACGGTTCCAAGTCCGACCTCGACGACTTGGAGACTCGACTCGAGTCCGGAGAGCGGTATCTCGCTCTTTTCTGTGAATTTCCGGGCAACCCCTTACTCACTTGTCCCGACCTGGTCCGTATTCGGGAGCTGGCGGACAAGTACGAGTTTGCCGTTGTTGTAGACGAGACTATTGGCACTTTTGCGAATGTGAATGTCCTCCAGTTCGCGGACATTGTTGTCAGCAGTCTCACAAAGATTTTTAGCGGCGACTGCAACGTCATGGGTGGCGGTGCTATATTTAACCCTAATTCACGATACTATTCAGCCCTGAAATCCTTCGTCCAGCAGCAATTGGAGGACACCTACTGGCCCGAGGATGTCATCTTCATGGAGCGCAACAGCAGAGACTTCGTCGCGCGCATAGACCGAGTCAATGCAAATGCCGAAGCCATTTGCCGCGTCCTCAAAGATCATCCGCTCGTCAAGACTCTCTACTACCCCAAGTACAACGATTCACGGGCCAACTATGAAGCGGTCAAGCTGCCACAAGGAGGCTACGGTGGCCTTATCTCAGTGGTCCTCAAAGGGAAGAAGCAGGCTGTGGCCTTTTACGATGCGATCGAAACGGCCAAGGGTCCGAGCTTGGGAACCAACTTCACATTGACTTCGCCCTATGTGCTCCTGGCGCATTATCAGGAGCTTGACTGGGCTGAGCAGTATGGTGTTGACAGGAATTTGATACGGATCAGTGTCGGGCTGGAGGGAACAGATGAGCTTATCAATGTGTTTACCAGAGCACTGGAAGTTGCTGAGGAACAATCTCAATATCCTTGAAAGTAAGGACAGGTAGCGAGTGCTTACAGATGTAAACATGTTAAGCTGGGTCTCTGGTAGGAAGAGGAGTGAAATGATACAACCATTGTGTTCTCTTCGCATGTCACACATTTATCCTTTGCCGCCAATACATACCTACACTTTGGCAACTATATACTACTCGACCGGGTCCCATCTGCCTAGGGAATCGGATCTTGACCTGCTGAACATCAGCCGAGAATTTCCCGCATCCATGTAAGGCCGAGTCGGGCTTCACACAATTCAAATCATATACAATCAAAGCAAGCCACCCTGTAACCCAGTAAAGCAAACCGAGCACAACAACAACGCAATTTTGAGGTCAGATTTGATTTGGTTAATTTGCGTGTCTGTTTTGTCAGAGGCATAAGATTTCTGCAGTAATATAACGCTTCGATATATACACGATAATTTTGGCTGTAGGCGGTCGGATGTGAATATTATAAAACTAATCAAAGAAATCTCGTATATCGGTAGAGAAACTGTGATACTCTGGACTATGGTGAGGAATCTTGGTATTATTCTATCCTGTTTATGTGGCTGGAAAAGATGATGATCCGAAGCAAATCTACGTAATTCAATTCAATTACACTCCCAACAACGCAAATCTGACTTCAAAATATCCCAAAATAATTCAAATCAGACCCTAGATTTGGATTGATTTGCTTTGTGTGAAGCGCTGACTGGCCGACCAAGTTCCCACGCGTATCACGTCCAAATCATCATCAATAGTAAAGTAGAAACACAGAGTGACCCAACTCGAAGGAATTTCAACATGATTGAGATTCAGTGATAAGGGGGAACCCATAAAGGCAAGATAGCCAGCCAAGCAGATAAGGTACACCGTCTACATCACGATGCATGGCCCGTCGTTTGTATCAACGTAGGCCTCGCCCAACAATTCCCTGCGTCTTTCTAGTTCGTTGTAACGCTGTTTTTCTTTTGTTTCCTTAGGAAACCACTTCTCCATATAGGACATCAATTTCCAGTCGATGTGGGCTGTAGTTGGCAAAAGCGACGCATGTTAGCTATACGTGCTCAATACTGCTCATCGAGCCATGTTGAAATTCATCATTACCTTCAGTCGCAGATAGCACGGTTTTGGCCCGACAGAGGGGGCACAGCTCTTTTTCTCGGGTTTGCATCTTGATCATGCACCGGATGCAAAACATGTGGTCACAGTCCAGTCGCACGGGGAGCCAGCAGATCGAGTAACCTACAACATCCATCATTGTCAGCTTGAATATACCACCACGCAAGGCTGTGGGGGTGGGCAGGGTCGGTCTAAATTTTGACGTAGACCTGCCGGCATGCGTACAGATTGTGCATGTGTAATCCACAATTTGGGGAACACGGCTGAGCACTTCGCAAGCCATCTGTGAGCAGATGTCTTTGGCAATACTCCCAACGATGAAGGGGGCAGAGCTCATGGCTTTTGGGAACTCTGCCTTCACACCCAATGACGTCTGTTTATCGAATTCTGCTGAACAGTTAGCATATGGTCATGTCATAATCCTGTACGCTTAAAGTGACCTCCGCTTGATCATAACACGCAAGCTATTTTCTCGCTGATACCCTTCCTCTCGCTCGCTCTTCTCTATTTCTTCTTTCTGCCCCGCATCTTCGTCTTGCCCTTTTGTCGTTGTTATCCACTACTCCGTTCTGGGCTGGACTCACTCTTGATGATTTTGGTAACCGCTGTTCGGTTAAGCTCTTGGAACTTGAAATTTTTCAGGAGGGTTGCGTTGAGTTCGAGGAAATGTGTGTAAGCTTCCGCGCTAGCCTTGAGTTTGAATTTTTGTAAAAGCTGTCGTTTGTTGACCTCATCCTGGAACCAAACAAGCTGCTTCCGCGCCTTCTCACTATCACGCGGACCCGTGGCTGTCTCGGCAGTCGAGAAGAATACCTGGGCGGCCAGGTAGAGTTCAAAAATCTCACGCCAACGGTAGAGGTCAGATTTTGCTATATGAATGACTCCCTTGCGGGGCCGAGCCAGACGTGCAATCTCATCGCCAAGCAGCTGTATGCCGTCATTCATAGATTGACGCTCTTGGGTTTGCAGCGAGTCTAGCTCGACCACATCTGTTTGTAGGATGTTGAAGAACTTTGCGTCTGAGTCCAGAGGAATATCAACCCATCCAGCATCCTGGGCTTGCGCCAGACTCGGGGGTGACGAGGTGGGATTTCCCAGCAGTACAGACGACGACTTGGGAGGTGCGCTGGCGGGCGTGCTGAGCTCTCCTCCCGTGAGGAGCTTCGGAACCGTATCGGATCGTAGACAAATGGTACTGGCCGAGGGGCGGACTACCAGTTTGGGGCGGAGGATGTGGGAATTCTCTACCCTTAGCCTGTACTCTGCGTTGTGATCGGCCAAGAGCCTGTGAAGAGTATCGGGGTCATAGCCGTTGCGAGTAAGTTCTTCTCGCACCTTGCCCAGGAGCTTCTTGAGCTGACCGTACGGAATGGCTTTGTCTACCCAATGCTGAGGGTAGCTCTCCCCTTGCAGGGCCTCCTTGAATGAGTGACCGAATTTCATTGTAGCGACATGGCCATGCAAAAGTCCTGGTATTCGTTCGGAGGCGGGGTCATGGCGAGTAACTGTAGGATTGGGGAAGAACGAGGGGCAATTTGGCGAGTCGCGCGGTGCGACAGCGATGACTACTAGGTTTAGGTCTAGGTCGGGTCGTGAATCGGCAATAGCTGAAGAGAGGAAACTCGGAATCTCGTTGGAATCGGGTCGGGACGTTGACACGCGCGGACGGTTTGGTGTCGGTGAAATCACTCAACTAAATGCGCACCAGTGATGTTAGACATGAGTGTGTGTCTGTTTGCTCTTTTGAAGGCAATGGCAATGAATGGCCTGTTTGTTGGTCGCACATGGCCACCCATCCTCAGCCAATGTGGCACTTAGTATAAAGGTAGAGGAAGAGCTGCACTGCACTAGACTTACTCGAATGGACGGTCGCTTCTTGGTACAGGTACACCTCCAAGCAACGAAGTGACCGGCGATGGCGACGACGATTGAGGCGCGCAGGTACTATGTGATTATGTCCCTGGTGCTGCTGTGTGCGCGCCGAGGCCAGTCGATATATTCAAATCTGCGAAAGCACACCGTCTTCTCTTACCATGCCATCTACCTCTTGTTCCGTCGACACGGTTCTACTAACCTATGTTCCTCCCTCCCCCGAACCCTCTACACGACGAGGGTGGTGGCCATGTGATGGTTCATGTAAGTGGAGAAAGCGAGGGCTGCTTACAATTGGAAGGGCCGATTCTGTTAAGTATTCTAGGCAACTCGAGTGGAAGGTCTGGACCAGTAAGAGTAGGTATTTAGTTACCTACCGCCTAGTCCCGCGTTAACAGACAGAAACTAGGGGTGGACTGTACACTACGGTATAATTCCGGGGCATATATTGTCAGGGTTATGACAAAGCAGGCAGTATCTTTATACATACTGCAGCACTTGATGCCCACCAAGATTGTATGCAAGACGGTGATTCTGAATTTCTCTACCCTCCAGCGCCCTCAAAAAGATAGGTGGGAAAAGACAGGGCAGACTGAGAATCGAATTAACAGTGCTCCGGCCTCTCACGCTGTCCCCCCCCCCACTCTTTTTATCGGGCGTGAGAAGCACATATTCGAGCACTATGAGTGTAGACCACATCTGATTTTTAGAGTTTTACTAGGGGAGGTAAAAATATATGCCCCGGAATTATACGGTATATACCTACTCGTCAGGGCTCGAATCGCCTACCTTGAGGTTCCCAACGGCGAGTATGCTGCAGCCCGCCCCACCTCGACTTTACTGCACCCACCGCCCGACCCGCCTCAGCATCATTTTTTCTTAGTAGCGCCGCCATCACAAAAGCACAGATGTGCTGTGTATACTAACAATGCTTTTTCTGCCGATTCCTTCTCTCTCCATCATCCTCATAGAACGCCATCTGCTCACTACCGTACCCACGTAACTCATTGCGCCAGCAAGCTAAGATTCCCATATGGGTGCCGAGCAATCAGCCCCGCGGTCCGGCGGACAGGCCTCTGCTGCCGTACTAGAGCGCAAGACATGCTATTATGAGGTTCTGGGGGTAGATCGCCAGGCTGCCGATACCGAGTGAGCTCATTTCCATCTCAGACGTTGCAAGTTTGCATACGGTACTGACGAGTTCAGGTAGGATTCGAAAGGCATACAAAAAGAAGGCCCTCGAGCTGCATCCTGACCGCAACTTCAATGATGAAGAGAATGCGACCAGGAAGTTCGCCGAAGTACAGACGGCCTACGAGATCCTGTCGGATCCTCAGGAACGCGCCTGGTACGATTCCCATCGTGAGGCCATCCTCACAGGCCAGACAGATGTCTCTGGCGCTGAGCCATCTGGCCATGATGGAACTAGCTACACCTCCGCAACAGCCATCTTTACGCTGATGGGCCGATTCAACTCGAGTGTGCACATGAACGACAGCCCTAACGGTTTTTTTGGTATTCTTAACTCGTTTTTTGACCAACTCGCGGCCGAAGAAACCGCAGCGGCAGATTGGGAAGGCATCGTGCCCGTAGAATATCCAGCTTTTGGCCGGGCCGGCGACGACTACGATTCCGTCGCGAAGCCATTCTACAAGATCTGGTCAGGCTTCTCTACCAAAAAGACGTTCAGCTGGAAGGACAAATATCGCCTTAGCGATGCCCCTGACCGTAGAGTCCGTAGACTCATGGAAAAGGAAAACCGCAAATTTCGTGAAGAGGGCATCCGCGAATTCAATGATGCCGTCTTGTCCCTCGTGTCGTTTGTCAGGAAACGTGACCCCCGTTATATTCCAAACACGCAATCCGAGTCTGAACGGCAACAGATCCTACGGAATTCCGCCGCTGCCCAGGCGGCCCGATCACGAGCCGCCAATCAAGAGAAGCTGGCCGAGTACGTGGTGCCTGACTGGGCTCAGGCGCGGGATGATGAAGAGCAGCCGCTTAGCGAGTTTTCTCTCACTTCTGAGGAGGAGTCTGAAGTTGAGGTCCTGGAATGCGTTGTCTGCAACAAGACATTCAAGAGTGAAAAGCAATTGGAGGCGCACGAGAAAAGCAAGAAACACGTCAAAGCCGTTCAGCAACTGCAAAGGCAGATGAAAAAGGAAAACGCCGATTTCCACCTGGGTGTAGAGAGTCCTGCTATTTCGACGCCCTCACCTCAGCCGCAAATTCCCCGAAAGACCAATTTGGACGGTAGTGATGATACCGCAAAATCCCCCTTGGGCGTTTTAGGTGGCAATTCACAAAGTCACGAGGACATCTACCAAAGCGCAGAAACGCGAGAGGATCAGGGCCGAAGTGCAGCGGATGACTCGAGTACGGAAGATGACGAGTATGCACCTCGATCAACAGTCGAAAATCGATTCACTGCTGGAACTGCCTTTAGAGAACCACGGCCCGACAGTCTGGCCACTACTGAAGGCGTCGACTCTCTGACTGACAACATTCTCGGCCTGGAAGTTGGTGGGACGGAGTCTGGCGGTGCTGGTAAGAAGTTGGGTAAAGCGAAACTAAAACGCGAGAAGAAGGCTGCGCGGCAAGCCGCTGAAGCAGGTGAACAAGGCACTGTAAGTTGTAACTCACGTACACTTTGAAGAAATCGCGCGTATATTATATTGCGTATATCGCATAACACTCGACTAATAGGAAGTAATAGCACCTTTGCGCCTTCTGCAAAGAAACCTTCTCATCTCGGACTAAGTTATTCGCGCACATCAAGGAACAAAATCATGCGGCCCCTGCACCTCAATCCACAAAGGGTGATAGAAAAGCGAGACGGTAGATAGTTTTGTGTACTACCGTCACATCAGACGATCATAACACGCGCCCAAGACTTTGTACAATATAGCGTCGGTACCGCCACCTACCGTGTGTGCCTCAACGTCTCTTTTCGTCGGTCTCGTACTGGCTTGAAGTTGAGTAGTGAAGCGAGGCTCCGAATACATCATGCCCCGTTTCTTGAGTCATTATGCTCCCAAAGCGGGTTCTCCATCATCATCACTCTCTAGAGTTTCTACTTCATCAATGGCTTCGGCACGCCCTCCACCCTGCCCCCTGGCAGGGTCGTACGGGGAAACACTGATGATGGACTTGCCCTGAACATGCTTCACGGAGCTTTTCCACGTGTCCCAATCGTCCTCATCCTTGATGAGAAACCCGATAAGCATACTAGGATCCATGTCGCCAATATGAAGCTGTCGCAGTCGTCGAGTATGACACGTATCCAATTCTTCTGCCGTATATCCTCTCGGATCTTCGCGATAAGGAAGTGCAGGCCGTGGGTGATGAGGGTCCAAGTAGAAGAGCCGTTGGCCTTGGACGCCGACAAAATAATGGGACGAGGAAGGACGACCGCTAATGTTCACGTTAGGATGAGTAAATGCATAGTGCCAGGTCACATATTTGGGTTCAAAGACTTACCCGGCTATACCTATTGACTGGGGTAACTGCAGAGTTGAGATGAGGGCCTCTTCGTATACTTGGTTGATTTTGTCAATGCCAAGTCTTGTGCATACGAGAATCAGTGTTGGCTGGAAGCCGCGCCCATCCGGATTCGCAACCGCCATAAAGCTGTCTTCGTAAACATCCGGTAGGTCACCGGTTGAGTATACCCGCAAGCCCGACTGCTTCTCGTCCGCCAATGCCCTGCACATTGTAAGCCATACTGTCACACTACTCACTCTCTTTGTCTTCACGAGTCAAGGAGGCTTCTTGTGTTTGCCCGGAGGACCATAACCTACTGTATGCACCGTGCAGTTGCCGACGGACCAAACCATTCACCCGGGTATTTGCCACACGCCGTGGCACCGTATTTGACAAAGTTGTGTAGGGAATATGGGGCGCGAGGGTCGTCTGCAAAAAGGGCAATGATGTCCTTTTCCGCATCTAAGTCTGTACCTCGCCTCCATTCTATACCAGTGCTATTAGTTGTCACGCTTGTTGTTTATTTTTGTTGTTGCGAGCAAGCATGTCGAAAAGAGCAACTTACCACGGCCAAGGCGAGCAATAAGTATAGCGTTTGCTAGGAGGCTCTGACCTGACCTTATCATGCACCCCCAGCCCGTATCGGACGAGAAGCCCGTCAAGTCCGAAAAGGTAGTCTTTATCCGCATCGCGAAGGACAGGGCAGAAGACGCTTGGGGGTCGCTCGATCTCGGAATGAATGCAAAGTCAGTGCGGTACGTCATCCATATACGAGACTCGAAGTCGTCGAGAAAGGTGGGCGGCCATCCACCATCTTGCCCAGGCTCTTCGTATGCTAAAGCCGAATCATAACCACTCGTTACAGAATCTGGGGCCGTGTCGAAGGATCCCAGCTGGGAACCTGCCGGTGCTGCAGACATTGAGGTGTCTGATAGACAAGTTGCCGTGGCAATGGTCCGGACGCCATTAAAGTCTTGGTGCTGATGCGTGGCGGCAAGCTGTGACTTATCCAAGGGTGGTGTGTCTGCTGTAAGCTGGGATAGCGACGACGATGACAAGGGCGAGCCGTACTGCTTGATGTCAAGCGTGTACGAACAGCCGAGACACCACACGGGCTCATTAATAGTGCGATTGTTGACAGGCTCCCAGTCCCATATCCGGTAGAGGAAGCGGCGGCCTACGCGTCCAACTTCGGCAGCGCCGGCTCTGGCAGCCTCCATTGCGTTAACCAGCTTCGGAGATGTATTGGACACTGTCTCTTGCCAGCCAGTGCTGCCGGTGCCGCTCGGTCGCGAGGAAGTCATGAATGCGTCCCCTGGGTGCCCAGAGGCGAGGTGGGCTTGACGGATAGAAGTGGATGCCGGCAAAATTCCAACTTAAGCCAGACACGCAACGCGTCCTGATGGACAGAATAGCTGAGGATCGCTAGACGACAAGATCAAACTAAAGATGCGGGTATCGGTTTCGGATATGTCGATGGTGGGGATGAGAAGGTGGCGGGGGTGATGACTGCTGTTAAGTTCTCGTATGTGCAGATGGCATCCAAGTTTGGAGGCCGGGAGAGAAGACGGAAGCCGCGTTGTGATGCTAAATGGAAGGTTTGTATGTTGTCTGTAAACTGCCCCAGCCTGCCAACGAAAGAGTGCACTGGCGCAAAGAGTTGGAGGATTCAGGCATGAGCCGTAGGTAGAGGGAGGGCGGCAAGGTAGGTAGGTAGGTAGAGGTAGGTAATTAGGTACTAGGTAGGTAGATACAAGTGTAAGTCACCCTCCCTTCCATAACGATTTATGTAGGCAAACAGGTAGTCCCCATTGTTTGAGTGTTCAGCTGCGATGAGCGGCGGCGCCTTGGGGGAGAAGGGGGGGGGGGGGGGGGGTGCGAGGTGAGATAACGATGTTATCTGAGTTCTCCCGTTGATAGAACTATAGACCCGAAGTTTATAAGGTTCCTACTTGGAGGTAGTAGACTCAGTTCTTAGACCTACCAACCTCCAAAACCCACCCCACCCCCCGACCCCACCCCCTGTTTTTGCAGTAGCAGGTCTGAGCGGGTTTTAGGTTTTTTTGGCTATTGGCTATAGAAGAATAATTAAACATTACTATATATTATAAATTTAGCAACATTAATATAAATAAAAGGGAATAATCTTAATATAAAATCTCTTATTCTAATTCTAATAGTAGTCTTAGTTTTCCTATACGGCTAATATTTGTTAAGATATAAGGCTTTAAACTTTAACTCTTTTATCTTTCTAAGGTTGTATTACCTAAATGGGTAGTCTATATTATTATAGGGCTAGCGCCTAGGATTAAAGACTCGTCTTTGCCAAGCTTGCTAAGCCGGGACTAGCTGTATTAATAAGGGTGTAAGCCTTCTGGTTAGTTGGATCCATATATCTGCCTAGCCTATACAGTTTTAGCACCCTGTACAAAACCTTCTCCAAACTATACCCTTCTAGTATAATCTTCCCTTTTATTCTCTTTATCAAATATAGCATTTCAACTACACACGACTACTCGCTATACAATACTCTAACAGACCCGTTATATTATATTTGACTCTCTTTTTTAAGTTAATACTATTACCCTTCTCTCGTAAGTACACCTGAAGAGTTTTTATCTACTATAGTACCCGCTACCTTCCTTGTAATCTCTTAATTCTAAGACCTTTAAGAACGTTTGTAGTAATTTATAACCGCCTTCCAAATGTTGTTGATTGAGGTTATTACGAAGCCCGCTGTCCTAAAATTAGTGCTTCCCTATCTCAAAAAATTTTCTAGAAATAAGGAGGATTTCAAAACCTAGATTTTAAACACATAGGCTAAGCTCCACGTAGATAGCCGCGCTATTAGCAACTTAGAAGTGTAGTTCTACTATTTATATTTCTACCTATCGCCCGCTATTAAGAAGCCGCTTGTTGCCTTCACTACTATACTTTAATCTCCCTAAGAATTTATTGATAAGTTCCAACTTACCTACGGAAAACTTAATACTATAAGAAGGGTTAGTTAAGAGTTTTACTAATTTTATTAGAAGTTATACAAACTAATAGTAATCTTCCTCGCCCGATTTAAAGAAGTACTCTACTATACCCATATTAATTCCTAGTTAGAAGTAGCTAAGTAATAGGGAAATTCTTAGATTTCTATATCTATACTGTAATATAGTATTTACTAATCGTAACAGCCCAAATTAGTTGTATCACAGGGCTAGATCACATACCCTGTGCCTTGCTATAGCATATAACTAGATTACGTACCATTAGTGCTGTACTATAGCACTAGTACCAGCTTGGGTATTGGGGCTCTACGCGACCCACTCCATTGGGTTACGCAACCCTTATAAGCCTAGGCTGGCGCACACTCTCCTCTTACTTCCTTCGTACAACAACGAATATCGTAACTTACCCCCAATAGTGCCCTTACCCTATAATAAGTTGGGCTGCTATGGAGGCTTTCTTGCCGTGCCTAGCCTGGGCATCTAGACTGCAGTGCTCGGGCCACCCCGTGGCCCGTGCTCTGGCTCGCTGTACAGTATATCTACTGCGTGCAGACGGCTGGCTGGAAGCCTTCCCTTCTTTCTTAGAACATCTTCCTTTCTTTATTTTTATTTACTATTATAAATGAAGGTCACTCCCCGTATCACTAAGGTTAGCTAGCTTATTACTATTTTGAGTAATAAATAGAAATAATAGTTTTCCAACTGAACCGCCGTACTTAAATAGTACTCCTTACTACTTAAATACCTTTGCTGATTCAACAGCAATTCTTTTCTCTTTATTTTAAAATTAAATTCAAGATATTCGGTTAAGGATAATAGTAATCCTATAGATACTTCTATCAATACTTCGGTGATAAAACCCTCTATACTATTACTATTTTAAAAGTAAAAGAATAAATAAAAGAAGGAGAGTAAGTATAGCAATTATAGTAGCGGGTTATATTGGTATAAGAAGTGCCCGCGATTATCTATAAATATAAATATAGTCCGGCTACAATTCAGTAAAGGCTTAAATAGCTATAATAATAACACTCTAAAAGGAAGAAGAAAATTTGGACTAAGTAAAGACTAAAGGTCGACCCTAATAATACTAGGAGTAAAGGAGCGCTACTATATTTAAAAGGTGGAACTTCTAAAAGCTTATTAGACGTACTTTTACTAATTAGAATAATCAGACTATTATATAGTACCCTTTAGTACTCAACTACTTTAGTAGTATCTACTACAAGAATATAATTATTAGAGGGTAATAGATATTATATTTTATAAGTACAATAGTTTACTAAGGCTACCCTCTAGCGAAGGGATTATAGATATTATAAGAACGTAGTATTTCTTATTAGTAGGAAAAGTAGAGCAATATAAAGTACTGGGTAATAATTGTAATTTTAATTATTTACTAGCGTATATAAATTTATAATCCTATAAAAGAGGACTCTTAAATAGGTATAGTCTAAATCCCTAATTCAATCTTAGTTGTCACGGACTAGAGGCGTGCAATGCTTCTAGGCCAAACTACTAAAAGATGGAAAATTATTCTATTCGTCTAATAGAATATCGAATGTACGCTTATATAACAATATCATGATTGAGCAACCTGTAACACTACCTTCCCTTAAAATCCCGCTCCAGGGACCTTCCCGCTCTGGGGCCCGTTTTAGGAAGGAAAGGACTCAGCTGTCTTCCTGCTTTCTTCTTTACAGTCGCTGAGGCTATATAACACCACCTGAAAGCTTCTGCTTTCTAATCAGTTGTCGCTAGTACATGTTAATCTCAATAGTCGCTCTCAAAACTATTATCAACATTACTACTCTGGGGATTGAACCCGCAATGTCCTAACCGTGGAACAGAACAAAGTGTCATAGACTAGAAGCGTGCAATGCTTCTAGGCCAAACTACCAAAAGATGGAAGATTATTCTGTTCGTCTGACAGAACATCGAATGCACGCTTATATAACAATGTCACAGTTGAGCAACCTGTGACATTAGTACCCCAGCTGGAGCTTAGTTCTATAAAGGTAGTAATACCAACTCGGGTAGTAAGTAAATTAGCTATATAGTATTTGTTTAAAGGCTTAAATAGGGAGATCTTTCCCTTTTAGTATTGTTACTCGTACCTATTTAGCTGGGTATTTAGTTAGGAGCGGTTGTAGGAGATTTTGGTTATTCTTTATATATTTAATAGTATAGTCTTCCCTAGTATAGTAGACCGGGCTCTCTAAGGGAGAATAGAGAGGTAATATTATAGGGCTAACGCTTAGGACTAAAGACTCAGCTTTACTAAGTTTGCTAAGCTAGAACTAGCTATATTAATAAGAATACGAGCCTTTTGTTTAGTTGAATCTATATATCTGCTTAGCCCGTACGGTCTTAGCGTCCTATATAAAACCTTTTCCAGATTGTACCCTTCTAGTATAGTCTTCCCTTTGTAAGGGATCTACAAGGTATACACGCAGGTAGGCTTTAAAAAGAGCTTAAAATAACTGATAAAGAGGAAGAGGGAAGTCTGCACCCTACTGGCACAGAGCTTCTAGCTAAATACACGAAACGTAGTGAGCATCAAAGGTGCCAGAAATGCTAAGGCTAGAAATGTAGCCCGTGCGGCTCCCGAGAGATGTACCCAATAGCACGCAGTGTATCTAAGCGCTAAGACGGCTGCTGACAGCCGGCCGGCCCGTGCACCCAACCAGAAGGCATGCCTAGCTTACACGGGTGCCAGCCAGGCAAACACCCCTGGGCGCCAGCCCTGTAACACCCTTTTACTCTCTTTATTAAATATAGCATTTCAACCACACACGACTACTCGCTGTACAATACTCTAGCAGACCTATTATATTATTATAGGGCTAGCCTATAACTATCATCTGGTTGCGGTATTACTACGGCTATAGTTGCTGGTTGATGTACGCTCTCTAATTGGCTGATCCGTTCAGCCTTATTATCGCTACAGCGGCTGCTGGGCCAACGCGGGCCCTCTGATTGGCTATACGCTCCTGGAAGCTCCAATTACGTATACTAAGGATACGGCTCACCCTCGCCTATATAAGATAAACCGCTATGTACAAATTCTATAGTTTCTCTTCTTTCTTATACAATTATATAAATTATATTTTACTCTATATATTTAGTATTGCCTTACCCTATAACAATTAATTACACCTTATTATTATACTGCGAGCGTACTTTACTATAAGGAAGAAGTATAAATTTTAATACTATTCTATAACGCCGTCAATCGCCGGAAAATTCCGCAACCGTCGAATCTAATAAAGCCTATAATTCTTAATAATAATATTATTATTACT